CGACTCTGCATATGCAGCCGTCACCTACTGTTCCGGGCCATGTCCCTTTTGAGTGTACATCACTGGATTGTAACGATCGTCCACTACACTATTGCCAGTAAGCGGTTCAGTATTCGTATCCGCCGTGTCAAACACAGGGCCCGAAATAAGGTAATCTAGAATCATGTATCTCTGTGTAATGTACCGCGGTCTAGGTTGTGTCCATGATGTGCAACTAGCCCCTCTAGGTACCGTGCCAAGTTTGCTGTTTGCCGTTGCCCCGGAATGACAACAATCTCCATCTGTCTGCATCGATCGGCGCCGCGGAGACCTTTGAAATCTTTTTACACATTTTTTTCTTCTTATTTCCCTTCCTTTCAGTTCGTTGGACGTCATCCCGTTGATCGGGTCTCCAGAGAAAGGGCCCGTTTTCGGAGGTCTTAATATCAAACTCGGCTTCGCCAGAGCCGTGAGCGTACTTCCAGTAAAGGCCGCAAGCCGGCCGCCGTCTATTCGATCTCACACTCCGAAAATCTGGGACCTTGTAACCTAGTGGCTGTCGCAGATACAGCTGAACACCCTCTGCGGGGGACCATTCTGTGGTGCGAGTGTCCCTAGCCGCGAACTAGACAAAATGCCATGTGTAGAGTCCCCTCCATTCTCAGACGGTTTCGACAAAAAGCCCTCTAGTCGAAGCAGAAGCACACGCGGGTTCGTTGGTCATTCGTCTCATCGAGTCTGTCTGAAGTTTCGAACCCGCCTTGCTATTCCTTTCAAAGAAAAGAAAACCCAGCACTTCCCTCCTTTCTCCCCTTCCCACGCGTCCTCGAACGCCGCCAAGACTCTGCTCGACACTTGGCATTGCTGCCGGTGCCCCGGGGTCCCAGAGCTTGTTTGGCCGAATGTCACGTGTCTTGGCAACTCTGAATCACTGCGTTGCGCGTCCATCAACAATGTAGTAGGCAAACTACGCCTTGCAGTGCAGCTGAAAGGGTTTCCGACGTTTGGCGCCGCAGCGACGGTACACTTCGTAACCGACACCCTCCCCCCACAAGCCGTGTTTTTCTTTAGTAGCATACTTGCAATCACGTCAGCCTGTGTGTTTTGCAGTCGTTTTCGTCGATCATGTTTTGTGGCCTGATATGCGCCGTCTCGAGATGTGCCTATCCTGTCTGAGAGATTTGCCGACGTGTAACCTTCTTTTTCCACGTTTGTCTTGCAGTGACAAATGCCATCTTCGCCTGAACCGGCGCCCACGTCGACTTGAGGCCATTGAGGGCCGGGCATATCCCTGGCCTTTCAGCCCATTACAAGTCCGGGGTGTGAAGTCTATGTTGTCTATGCTATTAAAAGCCACGCGCGCGTGTATTTGTATACGCATATAGCCTTTCATCCCCCCCCGCTTGCCGGGTGGTAGTATGCGACGCTTCATCTCGACGCAGATCTACGCTTGGAAAAGAGACGGTGCGTCGTACGATGACTTCTTGGGGAAGAGCGCCTGAATGAATGCTGTGCGAGAGAACAACATGTTGTTTCAATAACGTTGTTAATGTTATCTCCTATGCTGACGGCGGGCCCGAAGAACCAAAATAAAGGGCCTGCCTGTTGCAAGAACGAATACTTTGGTGAATTATGTTTTGCCTTGTTTCGATATGTCTTTGCTCGATGTGTTAGTTGACTTAATGACTGAATCTCGCTCCTGGTGGGGCGCTTCTGCAGCCGCTTACTATGCGGATCGTGGTGACTGTTTGTGATGACCCGGCAATCTTGTCCTTGGTTCGTGGGCGGGTAAGCTGACGTTTGTCTGCGATACGAGTGATGTTGATGGTAATGGTTTGATGAGACTGGAGATTTCTCGGAATGTTGTCTAGTGAGTTGTCCCTGGATGGCTTAATGGTTCAGGGACCTTTCAAACCCAGTGCCATGGTGATAACTTGAACAACAGATTTCGGCAACACAACTTTCGGACCATCACCAAGTCGGAATATGCTCATGGCTCTATTGTTGTATCGCTTGTCTTTTGTGAAGTTCCCGACATAAGAGTTAGCTCATGTTGAACTCTTCAATATCTCAGAGTCAAGAGCCTGCGCCTTTCCAAGATTGCCAATATCAACACGGCTCAGTAGAAGTTACTTGAACGAACTTCGTTGTCTGTCCAAAGTCGCGTCAAAGGATACGAGCAGCCGTAACAAACCACAGGCTTTCCTTCTATCGCTGAAAACTATGGCATTATAAACGAGCTGAGCTAGCCGCCTCTTCTTGGGCCATTCTAGATATGCTACCGTATGTGTAACTTAGTATCATGATGCTGGCTGGGATAAACTTCACATGCTAACGAACCATCCTGTGGATAGGGACAACTATATGCCCACCTACTGATCCAACTACAGGCCTGGATAACAGTGCCTCGATCAGAATAGCTGCAACAACACGCAAAACTGAGATTGTTCACTGTTTCTGCTTGCTTCCCTTTTACAACTACGGCACATAAGTGAGCAACTCACTTCCTTGCATGCCATATCAACCCAGATACCAACTCTGTACTACCAACCTGTCTGGCAATTCACCAAATACCCGTATGTAACAGCGCAACACAGCTGAGAGGCGTACAGAAACACAACAAGACGACAGGTAGCCTCCCAAAAGCCCGAGTAAGCAGTGTATTCTGTGATCGAATCTTTCATCGCAATCCGGCCTGAGAAAAGTGAAATAGAGGTTGCCACCACTGAGGCTGCGCACTTGGGGAAGAGATATGACATGGCATCTGCGATATGGCTGAAACTGTGCCTCTCATTCACCCGGAGAACCACTTGGGAACTCTGATCTCAACCCGTCTTCCTCGGTATCTGCTGCCCATCTATATGTCCCCCTTCGGTCACACCTCTGACTTCGCTTCCTGTATCTACATCTCCTCAGGAGCCCTCGCTCGACTATGTGTATGCTAATTTCTTTGGTTGAAAACTCGGTGTCATTGGAGCAAGCTTCGAGCAAGTGAGCAAGTGTTTCACACAGTCGACCTGCTGCTCAGATTTCCTGAGTTACCGTCAACGCTAGCAGGTGGAGGAAAGTGATGCTTCACATGATAAACCTGCTACGAGACCTCATGAAGATTTTCTTTGTCCTTAGGATTGTTCTTTTATTGCCTTCGAGGCCGGAGGTGTGTTCGGCAATTGCAGGACACTTGTGTAGCCAATATTTCAGACAAGGTCCAGCCACGAACTGCTTGTTTGTCTTCGGACAAGTGATGACACGAAAGTAGGAATACACGTGCCGCTGACTGGACACCCTCCGAATATTCCTTGAAGAAGTTCGTTACTTTCATCATCACCTGCCTCATCAGAATGTGCTAACATCCAAATAGATTGTAAGATGCCGTGGTCGGAGATTATCAGCCAGAGATTCGGATGCATAAGCGACGTTCAGCAGAAAGAGGCAACCTGCCCTTCCTTTCCGGTTGTTATTCTCACAAGTAGCCGAAACGTTCTTCGCGATTTCCTTAAGAATATGCGTCCATGAGATGTTACCCTCATTCTGACGACCAGGCGTTAACCGCTTGGATATAATGGTAGCTCTAGACTGCCCGATCAGTCAGGACCATGGAGAGAACTCCTACAATCTAAATCCAATTCTACTATCGGACGCGATGAAGTCCAGCTGATATTCAGCCAGCTTCGCCGCAAATAGCGGAGCTGACACCGGCTATCGGAACATGTCTCATGCGTTTGTACCTGTCGTCGAAGAAGATCTTCAACAACTGCCGCGGGCTGTCCAATGGGCACACATACCGGCGCACTAGCACAACGTCCTTAACTAGTGCGGTTCTCGGCGCGGCAGACTCAGCTTCAGCAGAGCTCTGTCTAGTGGTTGCGGATATATTGAGTTGCGTACAAGTCTGACCCAAGCAAGGCTGAGATGACTACGCTCACATCAGAAGCGCATCAAAACCTGCTGACTGGGCTTAGGCAAAGTCAATGGAAATGCTTAGCGGTATGCAAGATTCACCAGTCGTACGTTAGGATACATGATGAGCTGCATCTGACCACTTACCAAGCCGCTTTCATGCTGTTGGCAGTCACAGATATACATAGAGCGCAATGCTCACTTATCAGGAAACTACAAGAAGACTGGGGTGCCTATTCAGTAGAAACCACCCGGCCGGCGATCATTAAAACGCAGAAATATCAACTCGCGGGGTTAGTGTGTTCGACTCAGGCGTGCTTGATTTCAATCTTGGCAGCGTTCCGGACTTATTCCGGAACATGACGACTTGGCAAATCAATCAAAGTCACCCCACGCCGAGAATGCTTTAATAAGGAGGCTGCCCGCCGTCCCCGGCTCCCCAAAGATTGGCGTCCGTTGCCGAGACGTTGGCATTCCAGTGCGACATTCCTGGAAACGGTAGCTCTAGGGAAATCCCGCCGTTGCACGACAACCTACATCGCCTATGGCGAATTTAATGAACTGTGTTCGACTCAACAGATGGGAATTCATGGCCGCCTACATACGGAATGCTCTCGCCGGAGAGACGGCGTCGTCCGGCCAGGTGTCTCACACTTTGCCAGGTGCTCTTGTTCTGGGCATGGCTACATTGATGTCAAGGTTCGAACTCTGTGAGCACTCTCGGCTGACTAAACAGAGCGCGTGATGGTAGCCCTCGTAAGTGAAGGTTGACGGCCGCAGCTGACATGTCTGGCGTAGAACGAGTTGAAACGGGGCGTCGAAGGTTGGCGAAGGCTGGCGAAGGCTATTTCAGCAACTCAATTGCCGGGATGTTCATCCTTGTGGCTGGCAGCGGCAGAGTTGTAATATCTTGGTCATCTGCAGTGAACTCTGATCAGGCTTTTCGTGGGTTAGCGGCGTGATAAAGTGTGTGTGTGAGCGTGTTTCGATTAACGGTTCGTTTTGCAAGTTCTGCACATATCTAGAGAGACATGTTGATAACATTTGCCATGTTTCGGTGTTTTACCATGGATTTTCCGGAGGATGTGCAGGCCCGAGAATGCAGGGCCCCTCATTCGTCATTACGTGCAGAAGACGAAAATGGACCCCTTTTGGAAGAAAGAGGGTCAGATAGGGGGGTTAAAAAAAAGCAAGGAAAAATGGACTGACGTGATGGAGTAAATTTGGTCTTATTCATGCATTGAGCAAAAAAGGTGGGATGACTTGCGGCTTAAACTCATGCATCCATCGTTGTTGCCTCTTCGGAAGTTGGGCAGGGATCCGGTACGGGTGAGGTAAGCCAACAATGATGCAGGCTGGTTCGCTAAGGAAGCCCCGTTTGATAAGGTAAGCACCCAACGCCGATAAGGCGGGAGGAAGGAATGAAAAAGGCGGAGGCTGCAAGAAAGTAGAACAAAAAGAGGGAAGGGGAGTCGAGTGGGTAGGTACTTGCCTTTGTGGTGTGGCGCTCGCAAATAAGCGGCAATGGGGATGGGCTCATTCGTGTAATTGTATTATTCGTGTTGGAGCCCCCTGAATCAATACAAATTATTACTACGAATACGGATGGATGCACATAACGAACCCATAATTTCTTGTTGCTGCTGCTGTTGCTGTGCATCTGTACTTCTGTGACCGTCCGTTTCGCCTCGACTGGCTGTTGGCCCGTGTTGAGGGTCTTGGGCCGCTCGTCAGTGGCTGAAAGTGCATCATAATCCATCCTGGAGGGCCTCACTAACACGACACATAGAGTGTGGCCACTACGGCAGGCTAAAGCAGCGCTGCCACGGCCACCCACGCACGGGGCCGGCTGGGAGGTCAGGATCGGACTAGTCATCCCAGGAGGCGGATCATGGTGTGGCTCGCTCTCTGCACTCTTTTCACTTTTCGCTACTGCTGACTCTGACTCTGACTCTCGGAGCTCGTCGCGGAAGACGGCTGTGCACGTCTCATCGAGGCGGCCGCAGTGCTGCTGTCCTGTCCTGTTCTTCCACGAGGTGTTGTTGTTGTTGCCAACAGCCCTGCTTACTCGTTTGCTTGCTTTGCTGTGTGATGTAGTAGTAATGTTGGTGAATTGTGTGCCGCTTTGCCACTACTACCCACCACCACTACCACTACTATTTTTCACTTCTGTTCTTTCCCAAGCCGACTCCGTTGCAGGGCCTGGGCTGCCCATGCCCATGCCCATGCCCACTCAATCTTGTACTTTCCATGTATGCTCAACCCCGAACTCCGTTCCTTCCCTGTTCTTTCTGGCTCTGGCTCTGGGTCTCGGTTTGGGCCCGATTCTTCCTGCCCTGCCCGCCTGCTTGCTTGCTTCCTTCCTGCCCCATGTGACTGCAGCTGCACCTGGCTGCAGCCGGCGCCAAAGGAGCCGCCAACGTAGTGTTTGTTACCCCCTTCGCACCTTCCCACACACACCCCCCTCCCAGAATGAAGAATGTTATCCAGTGAGGAGCCTGGATTAGAGCCCAGAACCTGAAATAAGCTACCGACTGCCGTTCCGTGTCTCCTCTTCGGCTCCGTCATCATTCAAGGTTGGCTGCTTCTGCTGATGCATTCCTGCATTTCCCTTTTTCCATATTTTCTTTTTATTATATTTTTTTCCTCCGTTGGTTTGTGTTGTTTCCCCCCCTTCGTTGACTTGATCTTACCTCGTGCCGGTCTTCCTCTTGTCACCGAAATCGTAACCAGACCACAACACACAATCATCAAATCTCCGTTTTGGACGCAACCCTGGTCTGGTGTTATCTTAACTTATCCCTTGGTGCCACTGCGGGATCTCTTCCACGCCACCCCCCGGTGACTGACCCGACCGCCTGCCAGCCCCGTTCTCGCGTCGCATTGCCATATACACACAGTCATATCCGCACGCATACTCTGTGTCTCTCTGTCCATCCTACCGACTCCTCCCACCGAGATTACTTTGCCATTCTTATCTGCGGCATCCGCATCCGCTCTCGCTGCACTACCGCCTTGTGTCTCGCTGTCTTGCCCTGCCCTGCGTGCCTGCTTTCCTCCAAGGCAGCAAAACCAACCTTTTCTGCATATCCGTCCGCTCACACGCATCCCAAATTGTCCGGCGCCTGTTTCATTTCTAGACCCGACACAACAGCATTGAGTGCTGTCGCCTTTTTGAACATCCCCCTTTTCTGTTTGGACCCTTCTAAAAAAGCGAGGGGGACCTGCGTCTAGGACCTGGACACTGCTCAAAACCCGCCTCATACCTGGCAATTACCAGCTGGTTTTATTCCCGTCAACCACACAGTTATCGACTCGCAAGACGATCGATCTACACTCCTATCCTCCGTCTCTCTCTCCCTACTGCGGTCTCCTGGCCTTTTTGTGATCGACCTTCTCCGCCCATCCTTATCAGTGCCCCATTGGGCCAATTTTCTGCCGCTGCGCACGCGACCGACCGCGTAAAGTGGCTTAGGCAAGCGAAACGACCCCAGCGCTGCGCTACCGCCACTACTGGATTGGACTGGACCACTCCCTGCCGCTCACTGACTGGACCGCTGGGCCTCTACGCCTCTACATAGTACCACTTACCTGTACCTGGACCTGACGAATACGGCCTGCGGCCTACCTACCAAAACGGCTTTTCAGCATTGTCGACCCCCCCGGTCTGGGCATCAAGGGTCTCTGAATTATTGGGACTTCATTTCCCCCACCATCGTCAAAGCAGCCCAGGCCAATCTCCCTTCACCTTCCAGTTTTCCCTCCCGCCTGACCATAACCAATTCCCGCCAGCCCCGACTTGATTTGCGTCCCTTTCGATCGTTTCTTGCCATGACCTTGGAGCCGCCTTATTCAACCCCAAAATCCTAGCTTTTGCGATCTCGCACGATCCCTACGAACGACCATGTCCGTTTGCGTCGAGCAGTCTCTCCCCCCAAACACAAACGACGACGAACACCCCGACGTCACGAACAACGTCCCCCGAGACCGAGACCCCTCCGGTATCGATAGGCGACCGTCGCGAGACGACTACAATGGTAACACTAACGCTACCGAAGAGTTGACCTCGATCATGACCGCCTCCATCATTACAACAATTCTCAATACTGCTTCCAACCCCGTATCCCCCGGCCCTTCCAGTCCTCCTCTCGAACAGGCCAAGGGCAATGACTTCGTCCCCCCCACCCGCCCGAGCAGCACTCCCTTTTTACATCCCGATCAACGGATCTCGGATTGCTGCTGTCCGATGGCCGACGACGCCGAGGGCTACGGAGGCCCGGGTATCACAACCCCTCCCTACTCCCTCGAGACGCCAGAGGTCTCGCCCTCCTTAAATCTCAATGATCTGCCCGCCGAGATCCATGAGTGCATCCTCGACCATCTGTTTGGATACCGTGTATCCACGTCGTCCAAGAGCTCTGTGGGTATGCAGAGCGTGACCAAGAGCTGGGGAACTGCGCTACGACACTCTCGGCGGAGGGAACTGTCGGAACTGGCTCTCGTGAGTCCCGTCTGGAGGATCCTGATTCAAGAGCGCCTTTATCGTCACATTAAAATCAAGGCAACGGTAGAGTCGCTCGATCTGGCTATGCTGTACTTCAGCCAACACGACCACCTCCGCCGATATGTGAAACATATTGAGATTTGGTTCCCCGTTTTCCAGCCCAAGTATGGGCCGCTGGCGCTGAGCACCACCCTCGCCTTACCGACCGTGACAATGGACGGCCTGACTAACGCAACTTATACCCTTCCCGCCAACAACTGCAGCCTCGAAGAGGCATTCTCCTTTGTCTCCCAGGCCCTGCCCGACGTCTGCGTCTTGACCATTGAAGGAGGCGAGCGAAAGAAGGCACCGAAAGTACAACATAGCTGGCATAGGCGCCCAGCAGGGTGGCACCTGCCTCCCCTTGAATCGGTTCGCACATTGGTAACCAAGGGCCAGTGGAATCTTATGCGCGATGACGCCGATTTCGCTTCCATTTTGGGATCACTTCCTAATCTGACCGAGTGGCACGGTTCCTACAGCAAACCCAAGTCTAAAAGTTACCTGAGCATGGCCAGCATTCTCCCCAAGCTGCCATCAAACCTTACATATCTAAACTTGTGTCTCGAGAGCGACTACAGACGAGAAATGACGTGCCCTCCATTCTACATGAAGGTCTCTAACCAAGTTCACTTTTGCACGCGACTGGCCGATGCGACACCGGCACTGGAGCATCTGGCATATACTGGCCGTGTCTGCAAGGCCTTCTTCAATATGGCGTCCATTCGATCGGATCCAAGGACCACACGTCTCAAGACGATCGACCTGACGGTTAAGAATTGTTGCCGCCCAGTACCACAGTTCCACGACTCGGGAAGCGGTATCCAAGACATGAACTTTATCCATGCATTTGAGATGCTCGTCTTGGCGGGCATCAACTCCATGTCGACCTTGAAAGCGTTGGATTACCTGCGGATTCGCTTCGTAGATTTGGGTATGCTACTTCAATCTTTCCCAATGCCAGTGTACTATGCTAACTTATTTCCAGATTCGCCCGTGCCGCCACTGAACCCATATTTTGTTCTCCGTGACGGCTGGTGCTCTGGCGTATGGAGCGACAACATCTTGGCCGAATTGAACCGAGTTCGTCCCAACGCGAAGTTTGAGCAGCTAAGCGAGTCCTTCGGCGAGGTTGGATTCAATAAGGACGGGCGCATGATCATTAGTCCTGATTATCCCCGTTCCAGAGTCCTTTCCCTGAAGCTTGCCAACTATACCTTGCTGGCAGGTGGCGTCGCTGCCCTGCCATGAAGTCATATCTGAGGTCGCACCATGAAAACAAGCATCGCGCCCATGGGTAGCATACACTTTTTAAGCTTTTCTTTATATCACGACAACAACGAACATGCAAGCACAGCAATAAGGGGTCAACGGAATGGGGCGTTAATTCGAGGTTTCTGCGCCATAGATGGAGCATCATACCCCTAATCTGGGTTGGGAAATCCCTGAATCCATGATTTTTCTCATCTCTCGACGGAGTTTGGGCTTTGCACATGGAACGATGGGTTAATATGGAGTCTGGGCGGTACGGGGCGAGAATTGGTCAATGTTTTTTTCTCCTTTCTTTTTTTCCAGGCATGTTTCTGTCATTTGGCTCTCTTGCATTTCGGGGGGCTTCTCTTATATGTTTCCTCTTGTGCTCCAGTCATACACGGTTAACAAAAATGGTTTCCTTGCTTGGGGTTCTATATCACCTGATTCTGATTGTTGGTGCGCGTTGTAGAAATGATTAGTGAACCCAAAAGACAAATTACCACTCAATCCTCTCCGAAATGCACCTTTGGTTGCTCAACTGAGTCGGATCGCTTGGGGCCTAACATGGGGCGGGCAAGATCGTAAGACTCGAGCTCGCTAGTTTCCCATGAGAGACTCGCGCAAATCAACAAAAACCTGACCAGACGCAGAGGAGCCGATTTTCCAGCTGGGGGATGCGTTGTCAGCGCATAAAGCATAACGTTGGGTGGTTTGGTTGTCTATTCCCCCACTTGCTGACTTGACTCAATATAGTGGAAACAATGTGTGCATGGATGACATTGAGTATAAAGTTTGAAGGTCGGTGTTATGATGCCTTGGTGTCAGCATGCTGCCAGGGCTACTCAGTAGACCCGGATGAGTCGTGCCTCTGTTTGCTTCGTAGTCGTCTCTCGCAAACTCACCAATGTACGTGTTTTCGTCTCGTTGGGGGTGTTTCTGTACCTGGTTTGGAAGCCACTTCTGGAAAAGCAGGAACACGTTTGATGTCTCATCAGTTAGAGTTGAAGGCTGGGCTGCTTGCGAGTTGCTGCTGTCTCGAAGATGGTTTGTGGAGTTGCAAGGTCTGGAAAGACTCAAACAGCAGCGGTAGTTTTAGACCAGGTGTATGGCTGTGGCTAGGCTAGGCTAGGCTCTTGTGTATTCAGATTACTTTAGGACAAGTTCCTGGTATATGCTGCTGTCTGCCGGAAGATCAGATGCAGTGTCTAGGTCAAGTCAGCAGCAGCCGGAGATACAACAAAGATATGGCCGTTGTTATTGACAAAGTTAAGAGCACCAGGTTGAATTACAAGCACTGAAGTTGGACTGGCCCAATCGGGTTGTGCGAGGGTAGTTCCGCCGCCGCGGTGCAGACGTTCCACCGGCAACGGCGCCTTAACTTAAATTGCCGGTGCCCATCATTACCAATACCACCTTCGGTCATGTGAGTAATGTCGCGTGTTCGCTCTCCGATATGGCCGACTTCCTCCCAGTTGAGTTCGTCCATTTCACACCGAGCTGCCAATAGCTGCCATGGAACATAAGCAGGAATGGGCGACCAACCGGACATCCGAAACAGTCCAGTAAGGTTCGACGACGGGGCGTCGTGAGTCGCTGGTGATGAGCAGAGGGTGTGCTACCCCTCATCTTCCAAGGACAACGGCGCTGCGGTCCCTGGAAACCCGAATCAAGACTATTGAAACAATCACCAATGAGACGAACGAATAGGAAGTATCGGCAATATACTTTTGGCACGGGGGGTTGTGGTATCTGAGAATCGCGAGGCCCTAGCTGCCGTGCTGCTCTGGGACACATAAGAGCCCTGCTACCCCTCTTTCCAAAACCCTCTCGAGCCATGATCGGATACATTTGGTGTGATCTTGGAGAGCTCTACACATAAGCCGCCTATTACCGTTGACAAACAAAATCATCCGCAAAACCTGATAGTTCAACATGGCGCCCGGAGATAAAGCCAAGGCCAAGTTTTACGCCATCATTGAGGACCCCAAGAGATATGATACGACTTGTAAGCAGATATAGTGGTGGCGTAGCATGAGAATACAAACAGTACTGACTATGGGCATCCGCAGGTTACAAAAACAGGCCTATGGCCACTAGAACTCCGTCCGGAGGATCCCAACTGACGAACGTCGTTAGTCGAAGGGAAAGTACAAGTAGCACTGGGTCAAGCAACCAGCAGCAGGGTATAAGGAGCATGTTGAAGAACTGGATCTCACGTCCGGCGTATTGAAAGGGCCGGCTTGGAAATAAGGAGCATGGGAGTTGAAATATTGGCGAGATTGCAGCATTGGAAACTGTGCAAGCGCGAAAGACGCAAGAGTGAAGATGTATTGAGGTTTTGAGTACTGAAGATATAAAGTTACGCTTAAAATGTCTCCGAGAATCTTTCCTTTGATTGAATCGACTGAGGGCAATCTCGCGAGGCTTAGTATTTCTGAGGTAAGTGTTTGGTTCACTTTGGCAATTTGCGTTTGCGTACTATGAGGCTTGACTCTTTGTATAATTCCAAAAGTGTTTTTAATTACTTTGAAAACCTGTCATTACATAGAAGACAGCTAGTTGGATCCAATGAATAACGTTGACGTTGTGGGCTAATCATGCCTGATGGTGGCTCTATAATACAGTAAACACCATGAAAATCACTTAGTTAACAGTCTTCTTTTAGAACCAATCTCTGTGAAATGTTTCCCATTGGATATAAACTGCTGAGCGTGGAGTCGACGAACACCGGGCCAACAGCCTTGTAATAAACAACTGCATATGGCTGCCTAGCACTAGGCAGCTTTCGCACATGCTGACAGCAAGGCCGAGATATGAAAACCACCAGCATAACACCTCCCCAAACCTGCCGACGATTCAGCTTCTTCACATTAAACAAGTATTATCCACGCCAGGCCAAAGTAGCCCCGCTTTGCCTTTCACAATGGAATCCGCGCCTATAGTTTTCCCGCCATCAGAACCTCACACCCACACAATCATCTTCTTACATGGCCGCGGCGATAACGCCCAAAACTTTTCGCAGTCTTTAAGCTAATCCAGAGACTCCTACAACCGCACTCTCAAAGACGTATTTCCATCCATCCGCTGGGTCTTCCCTCAAGCCGGGCTGAGCAGGCCTTCAGCATTCCCAGGAGACAGAGTCTCGCAATGGTTCGACATTTGGAATGTATCGGACTTTACCGACCGCGAGAATATGCAGGCCGAAGGTCTGAGAAGAAGTGTAGCCGCCATACGGGAAATCATCGCTGAAGAAGCTGAGTTGCTTGGCGGAAAGTACAATCACATCATCTTGGCCGGGATCAGCCAAGGTGCTGCGACTGGTGTACACACGCTTCTTAACCTGGCTTTACCCAAGGGCCAGGACGGGCTCGCGGCTTTTCTGGGATTTTGTTGTCGCATGCCGTTCCCGGGCCGGAGCCTTGCTGATACCCGTGCCGTCTTGGGACTGGAGAATGTCCCTCAAGGTGACAATCTGCTCCGTCACACACCTGTTTTGCTGGAGCACTGCGCTGATGATCCGCTGGTGCTGGTTGGTAACGGTCGAATACTTAGAGATACCCTGCGAGGATTCGGGAGCAAGGTCGAATGGAAAGAATACCAAGAAGGAGGGCATTGGTTTAACTCTCCCACTGGGATGGACGACGTCGTTCGGTTTCTCCACAGTTTGGGCTTGACATTGAGCAGAGGAATACAAGGCATCGGTGCTGGTGACGCCATGGATTTATGCTGAGGGTAGAAGTTTGCGATTATAAGTTTGATAGCATTCCGAAAATAGAAAGTATTTATGCTTCAAGGGTCCTGGATGCGTTGGCTTCACCCAATCAGTATCGCCGTGTTTGCAAGTGTTTGAGCTGCCAACCTCTGCCCTCGTCAGATATGCATCACCTCTGAATTTCCCTTGATCATGATTTGCTAACAATGCTCCTATGATCTTGTTGTTTGGCGTAGCTCTTGGATGTAGAGGTCGACCAGGTCAACGGAGTGGTAAAGGCCCCGAGTTTGTACTGGCATGCTTGGTGAACAACACCTGTGGTCTCTAGGTATTTCTGCTTTAGTCTGACTCGTCTGGTTGAAAGGAGAATGTCAGACTCTGTGGAATGGTGACCGCATTGCCCAGGCCTTGCCCTGCACCGATAGAGACTCCTCCCACACCCCGGATGAGATCATCGGTCCGTGTAACTGAAAGTCGCCCTCGGTCCTGAACATAATGAAGATCTGGTTAGCAAGTGTTGACTTCTATGGATGCAGAATATTGATCCACTTACCTGATCAGGTATGACTTGAGTGATACTATCGTCTTGATACACTGCCGGCAAGGAGTTGAAGATCCTTAAAAGTTCGGCGCATATAACGTCAATAGCACTTCGAGTGTCCGTATTAACAACTAGCATTTGTTTTTCGATAAGGTCAATCATCTGGTCAGAGAAATGTGTGCGAGTACCAGGGAGTCTCAGCCTCTCCATCCACTAAGTGCGAATCAGCAAAGCGTAGCTTTCGGCGGTATTTAGTAAGACAGGAACTGGAAGTGACTTGTTTGAACATACATGTATCACAGCCGGATTTAGTTCCGCATGCTTGTGGGGCTCGTGCCTGATGATAAAATAACAATCTTCCTGGAAGGAGGGGATATCAGACTGATGAGCTCCGTGCCGGTCGTCTTCGAATTCGGTAAGACTCCTGGGTCCTAGAAGGTACCATACACAGAACTCAAAGAAAACACATCCGAGAGACCATACATCGTACTTCTGAGATATGCGAAGATCCATGTCTATCTCCGGGGCGCGATAGGCTCCCGTGTATCCGTCAACACGGGACACCAGCGACTTGGTGAGGCGCGAGTGGAACCGAGTCAACCCGAGATCTGATACAACGAGAAGGTCTGTATCGTTGCCATGACGTGAGAACCAGAGAATGTTATTCGGCTTGATGTCCCCATGCCGTCCCCAGTCCCTTTCAGTATCGCTGCTTGTTTCGCTGCTTGAGGACGACCTGAGCCTTTTTTGCCAGGTCGAGAGTCCATGGATGCGTTTGATTGCGGTGGCGATACCGAGGCACTGCTGGGCAACCCAGTGTGTTAGCGAGGGTGAAAGTCCCAGTGTTTTCTCTTCCCAAAATTCTAGAAGATTGCCGTCTGCCCATTCAAAGAGCAGGAAAAGTTTCTCTCCGTGTTGGAACGTTAGGAGAAGCTGAATCAAGTGCTTTTCCTTTTGGGCCTTTGCGTTGGCTTTCTCAAGGGCCCTGATCTCGTCATGGTAGACCTCCCGGCTCATGGAGTCAATCTCTTTGACTGCAAAGTAAAGCTCGTTGTCTGGACTCTTTGATGTCTTTAGAATCACAGATATTTATGAGAAGATTGAGGGTCTCAAGGCTTACCTGAAACCCCTTGAAGTTGTGATGGCTTGGATGTATTTTTACTTTGTACACTACACCATTACCTCCGTTCGTTTTACGCTGATAGTGCTGCCAAGGTAACCTGACGTTGCTGTCAAAGACATGAGAGAGGAGGTCTTTTGACTGACTGTCGAAGAAGGGGACATAGAACCTGCTTTGGTTAATGTAAAACAAATCCACTTCATTCCTTTTCCAGTTTCCCATTAATCTCGTGTTGACAACATCGTCTCTTTCAGTTCTGTCTCGAGTTTTGAAGCCTGCCTTAACCGTATATACCCGACGAAGCGGCAAGTCGTCATCAAAGATACGTTCTTTTATGAAGTCGTCCATCAAGTGAAGCGCTCCCATGTAAAAAAGGATCCCAAATATTCGTCGTCGGCAGTGTCCTGTCTCACCCCAAATCTCCGAGACCTTTTCGCGTACTTTTTTCCGCCGAGTCTTGCGTTGCCTTCTGCCTCGGCACTTGGGAAAGCTTCGGATAATGACCGACTGAATAGCATTGAGAGTGAATATATCCTCGAAAGCATCAAGGGGTAGATATTCCTTCTGGTCGAACTGGCTTAATTGCAAGCTCTTTTCGACCCTTTCTCGAATGGACCCCACAGTTGGTTGCGAACCCCCTCCAGACGCGAGTTTGGATGCGCTTCGAGTTTTATTCAGTCCCAGGTCGTAGACGGAAACGACAGTTCGTGTATCTGATGTTTCGGAAGCCGTGTGCTTCCGCCCTTGAGAGCCGCTCTGGTCTGCAGGTTTTTGTTTGCCATCGGTGTCGTGAATAATAACCTCAGGCCCCCCTGAGAATTCGTTGTGACGGGAATATATCGCAGATTGACATTCACAATTAAAATCTGAGGCATAACGTCGTGAAAAAATAGAAGAACTGGGAGAATTCCCAGAAGAGGATGATTCGGCCCTGCGCGGACAGGAAAAACCGTGATAGTCAGAGAACGCCATCTTGATTTTGGCGCTATTTTCGAATGTAAAGATTACAAAGTATTTGACAGAGCGATATCAGGAATGCCAGCGGTGTATTGGGTAAAAACTAACGCAGAATCTTTTGGCTATATTTCATACAAATGAAATTTCACTTGGTGCAATGGTATTTAAACAAGACAGCTATTTGCACCTCACCGAGAATTTCCAGCCAGCAAAGGTTGAGGCTCATTGCAGGGGATGTGTAGAGCAGGCTAAAGTGGCATGGGCACTGGTGACGATCATTTCGAGGACCTTTATTACCTCCTAGTGTCAACAATGGCAGCTGGGTTCTCGCAGCATATGTGCCCTGCAGGACGCCCAGAGCGCCACCCAGCTACTTGGTGGGATGCAGGCGTTCCAGCTAACGCCGAAGAGCGCTCAGAGTAGCATTCGAAGTACTGGGCATCCACCTCGAACACCTTCTGCGATCCTTCAAATAAACACATGTGGCAGATATTGGCCTCAATTCTGGCAGTATGCCCGTATATACCTGTTTGATTTGGTCTACATTACTCGACACTGTTCGTAAACAAGAATTATTCTCCCCCACGTCTCTAGCTGGCACAAGTCCTGTATACTCTTGTAAAAGGTCGAGTAAGTAGTGGTCTGCAGGCAAATAGCATGGCACTGCTACAGGTCCATAAACCTCTGCGTTCTTGAGATAAATCACAGCAAACCGAGACTAACTGGGGAACGAGATGGAAAGCTTTCAGAGGGGGGAGTATGAGCCTCACCCGACACGGACGGAGGAACCAGATCTGGAGTGACGGTGCTGAAAACCAAAGTAGGGCGCATTCAAATGACTCCACACACATTCTCCTTCACCGAGAGGCTGTGTGCAGCATTAGGAATGTATTGGAACACTTGTGGCGCATGCTGGGCAGCAGACAGACAGAACGTGGAGGCAGCTTTGCTGCCTGGCGAAAGTGCATTTCCACTTTCTTTTTATGACTAGGCTGCTTGATGCCGCCACATGTATTTGATTGGTCGAGCTTCGCGACAAATTTAGTCTGTCTATATGCATCAGAGCGAATGATTCCATTTCATCTACGGGGTTGGCTGACGCACCGCCAACTGCGCCTTGACACTAGACATGTAAAGGCAGATACATGCAGCCGCCTTATACTGGTGCGCATAGGCAACAATCTGATCAGGCTGGAGAATTGCAGGCAAGCCATATATACTCAACTTACATGGTCGTTTCTTTATTCAAAGTCTTCGGTAACGATCAAATTGATTCAAACTTCGCTCAATGCCTTATCCAAGGAAAGTCAGAGAGGACGCGGATGTTGTGGTCTTGACTGAGCACCCAGACCACGTACATCCGCGAGACTTGTCGAATTCGCTCTTATCACGCTATCAACAAAATCAGTTCAAAATATCCTTGAGGAGAAACATCTACATCATATACGTTGACCGTAGAGCGATGGGTGACCTTGCGGTACGTGGAATTCTTAGCTGACTGTCAGACGAATAACTAATGTGAGGAGACAGGATTCGAATCACGAAATCGAAGAACCGAGCTTGAAAAAAGCCACAATACTTCCAGAATACGAACAGAGACTAGAAGATGTGAAATTGGCAGAAGAGGTTTTGAGGCAAGCGAGGTTAAACAAGCTTTAATGTCGATTGTTATGGCAAAAAACTTGATTCAACAAAGGAAATACTTTCGCACAGATATGTCTTAGGGATAACAAAGGCTTACCAGTCAAGAGAAATTGTAAGTCAATCAGGATTGGATTGGTCATGAAGCCTTTTGAGCTTCTTTCGAGTAAACAACATGCGACTTGATGCAAAGCCTCTTCGCTGAAGCCGAGATGGAATGATGAACTGGTAAAATCGAACCTAAGAGACCCGTAACGACCGGAAACCGATGATTTCAACCTTTTGTAAACCGAGGACGAACTATTTTCATCTGTTTCTGTTGCGCTTCTTTTGTTTTCGCATTTTATCAAGGAGATGTAGCCGAAGGCTTCTCAAGATGGTTTATGAGAATAGCACATGATGCGCCTACGAAGGCTCAAGGTAAATCGATTACGGAAGAGTAGTGGAATTTGGTGGTATGTTGAGCATGGAGAGTCTCTCATCTAACTTGTGAGCTACAATATATTTACCCACGACCCTTGGCTGGCCACCAGCGAAGACATTAAGGAAGCGACTCCCACTCTTTCGTACATGTTACCATGAATGCTTTTGCATTTAGAAATGATCAAGACATGAACCATTCGATGGTCCTGGTCGCTTCCTAGAGCTTGGTCGCGCCCGATGATTACGCATCGAAGCTCATCAGGCTCTTGGTCCTGCTTTCTGTCAAAAGTGACATCACTCAGGATGTCATCCCACGACATTTTGATGTGCCGTCCAAGCCCTCGTAGTATTGTAGAAATTCTGCCATCTTTGGAGTTGGGTCCTGCAGTTGAGTCTCTCCTTACGAAGCTTTCAAACGGGTTCTCGAAGTCATCAGTGGCCCAATCTATCTGCTTGAATCCAAGATTGAGGTATTCGATTACACCCTCTTTGCTGAACCATGACCAACTTGGCGGCTGGTTGCTCTTCTGTTGCTGAATGGGAATCATATCCCCTTCTTGACCGCGTTTCCACAAGAGGCCACGTGCGAAGTAGTCCTTGAAGAAACCGTAAGCAGCCGGTATCTGGAGGGCTCGCTCCAACCGGTTCTGGAGACCCAGGATGGCAACGGATCGGTCTGAAGGTTTCGTGAAGGCGAGACTTGAATACCGCTCGTACAGATCCTGGATTAACACTTGCCTTCCGTCTCGGTAGTATGCCAAAGCAGACTTCGGAAAGTTGGCGTCACCGAGAAACGAAGCCTTCGAGCTGTAACAAAAAGCGTGAGCAGTTGGGGAGATATTCATCATCGGGGTTCAAACTACTTCTTAAGGCGCCCGAGTGTCTCACAGTGTACTCCAGTGCCACACTCCCAATACACTTGAGACGACGAGAAGAAAATAGAGCGACGTGACAGTGCCCTTTCTTGCAACACCCATCCGCGCTTGTTAAGCTCGCTAAGTTCGACATCTTGGTGAAAATCATCGATAGCTTGACAGGCATACAGTGGACCCATGTCGTCTGTCTGTATCTGCACACAAGATCGGGGCGGACGGTGGGCGAGGAACCCGTCGAGTGACGACTTTGCAGAGCTTGCGCCAATAGTGCAATAAGCAGCGCTGTACACTTGCTCCATTTTCCGCGCCTCATTTTCCCAATCAGCATGGTCGTCCTGGATAATGCAAAGCGAATCAATCCAGATGTATTTGATGCCAAGCCCACGCGTTACAGTGATAGCGTCCATGAACGTCTGTGGCATGCGTTTGAGGTCGATAGATTCCTTAAGCTGTTCTATGTTGCTCTGGTAGGTGCAGAACTTCTGACTTTCTTCAAGATGACCCCAACAGTGACTGAGTGCCACGTATCGAGAGGGCTTGATTGATGAGGAAAGAATGAGACGAACGGTTTCCCCAACTTCGATCAGCCGCGTTGGCATGCTGAAGCCATCCAAATTGTACTTGCGGCGGCAGATATCATGGTCAGAATCACAGACTTTTATCCAAGATTTCAAAAGTGTGAATTGATCATCGCTGGCCGAGTCCAGCAGCTGCGGCAATCCAATCTGGCTACCAGATGAGATGTCTGTACCTGGAAAAAGGTCAGTAATGGCATACACAGATATCTCTGAGGTATGTTGGTGATTTAGTTACCTGGTTCTACGTAGAGAGAAATGAGCTTTGGGCCATCTTTAAGTCCTATGGCTGTGACAGTTTGGTGGAGATTGACTACATCTCCGACCATGATGCCGGCATTTTTTAGGCCTTTGAGTAGTAGTCCACATAAGCCACAAGTTTCTTTTAGCGTTGAAGTGTCACACGCGTCATCGAAGAGAGGCATCGTTTGTCGTTTACTGCACTTGGTGCACAGGCCCGTTCCATCTTGAGATGGGCGAGGTCGTACTCGATTCCAGTCGAGAGTTTTGATTAGGCGGGCAGCGAAATCGTTGTCCGGGGAAGATTTCCAAATATTATCGAGATTGCATGATCGCTTTAAATTTAGTTGTTGTTATATTGCAACTTGCACTCTGAACTGACTTACAAACTGGGAAGAGTTAGAAAAATGTTTTGTCTCCTAGGTTTCTTTCAATCTGCAAACAACTTACCGGCTATTCGTGTGAACACAACATCAAACGTCACTACTTGAGCAAATTAATTTGGGATGGATAAACTCACGGTCTATTTCCCGAAAGAAGTCAGTGAAACTTCCAGTCTCCATGTAAGAAATACCAATACTTTGAAGTGCACTTACTGGATACTGATACAGCGCAGCCAATTAGTATACACACTATGATTTATTAGGGTGGTACAAAAGATTGATTCAACTTACTTCCTGATGATTTGATATAATTGAATCAGTTGTTTTCTGCGACTCTGTGTTAAACTGCTCCGTAGCCGGATCACCTTCTTCCAAGACACCCCGAAGCTGCCCTAAGCCACAGTTGTGAATAGGCAGTTATCCCTGGGATCTCTTCCTCAATTTACCTTTCTTGCCATCTTCAGTGATGGGAAAATGAAACCGTGATCGTATGGAAACCCGATAGCTTGAATCTGATTCACAATCTTCCCGGATTTTGGTCATTACGCTATGAGCATGGCTTGCCGACTTACGGTCTTCCACAGCGATGACTAGAAGTCCTTCTCGCACAAGCTCTAAGATGTCGCTGAGGGCATCACATTCACGTAGATCTTCGTCTAAACCTTCCATGCAGAGATTGACGACATTATGAACCTGGGGCTTTTGGTCTTTGGAACCTTTTACCCAAAAGGATTTCTTCGTAAGATCCTCGAACCGGTGTACCCCTGCTGGACCGTAGGCAATCCAAACCAACATTTCCAGCAACACACAGCCCATAGACCAAGTGTCGTAGACTCTCGACCGGGCATCTGTTGAGTTACCGTCTTCGCCCATTTCTGGGGGGCTGTACCGAAGGTTGCCGGACGGGGTCATCGTCTGCATGTTCCTTTGTTTTCGCATGTCAGTGATGAGTTTGTGAAACGTAGCGAGACCTAAGTCCGCAATCTGCAGGATTCCGTCATTCTTGAACCAAAGAATGTTGTCGGGCTTCAAGTCCCCATGTCTGCAATTAGTATCGTGAAGTTCTTCCAGAGCCGAGAACAGGCCGGTAAACTGTTCAATGATCCACCGAACATCTTCTACCTTCGGGAGCCTTTTGGAAAATGATTGCCGATAACTCAAAAGGGTACCGCCGTCTGCCCATGGAAAGATCAAGTAATTGTCGCCGTTGTGTTCATAAGAGGCAATCGGCTTTATCAGATTGGGCGACTTATAACCATGTTCGCTCAGCGTCTTTGCGTTGTCCCTCTCTTTGACGACAAGCTCCAAGTACTTCTGAGCAATGTCATCCTTGATTCGTTTTAGCGCAATGGGTATCTGGGTGGCCGAAGACTTCTGGGAGATGTCAGTTCTTATCGAAAGCAGTAACTGTCAACTTGATATGTGATGCTTACCGACCCCAGCGCCGGTACGTGTGCTGAATGAACTAGTACTTTTGACACCTCACCAAAGAAGCCTTCGCCTATCGGTGGATCTTTTGAGATGAATGGAAGCCTCGTGCTTTGATGAAATGAAAAATGAAACTGGTCCTTGAAGACGGGGGACGTAAAAGCCCATTGCCATTGGGAAAAGAGGTCGCACTCTGTTTCCTTCCAGCCGGGAAGAACGATTTCGTCATTATTGTCGAGAATGGCGTAAATTGTTCTTCTTCTTTTGGACCACCTGCAACACAGTGTGAGAGGTAGGCAACGATCATCTATGTTGTTTTCCATCAATACTTGCAAACGGGATAATTTCTCATCTCCTTCTGTCAATAACACCAAGATGAGAAATATGCGTTGAGCAAGTCCGTAACCAAACTCAGCTAGGCCTTTCTTCGTTCCCAACCTCGCATCCTGGAGAGCTGCAGTTACTTCAGATTTGCTAGCAAGCACATCGATCATATTATTAGGTAGAAATGTCGCTGTTCCAATGTCTTTTCTTTCAAAGGCATGACGGATGTCCCCTCCCAAGCGCTCAATCTCTTCATGGTCAGACATGTTGGAGGCTCCACTGTAATGGGAATTTTGCGTCAAGATTACTAGAATGCCCAGTTGGAGCTGATAAAAGGTTCGCGAGGTCGATCGATCGGTGGCTGAATGAGTATTGCTATATATCAATGAGATAATAGGAAGACACAACAGTATACGGGTTTCGAAAAATAAGTGAGTGTTAAATGTGCCAGGTCGTACAGAAAACTGGACATTTCACTTACTTAAGGCTAAAGCCTGCGAGCTGGCTCCACTGGGAATATTGATTGAAAGGAGGCGTACTACTAGACTGCCAGATACACTGCAAGTAAGACGAGCTGTCTACTATTGCATAGATTACTGCCTAATTGGACACATGATCACCGGGTTGGGGTTGTCTTAATCAGGTATCCCACCATTGCTGCAAGGCAGACCGGGTGCTCGTTTTTGGAGTTCCGCCCCTTGGGCGCACTGTCAGGCTGAGCACAAGAATAGACCAACCAGAGCTTACCAATCGCATTCGGTCAAGCAGGATACACTGATGCAATGAGCCAAAATTGAGGACCAATTGATGCATGTGATCTTTGATTATTTCCTGCTAATTTTTTGACGGGAAATTGAGGCGCTGGAACGAGAATTAGACCGAATTATTCGGTGTCTTGGACCACCAATCGAAAATACATAGTACAGGCCTCAAGCACAGCCTCGGCGACTAGAATAATATGGAACGTCATTATTGAAGGTGCAGTGGCGAAAGGCGCTGAGGCTGCAATTAATTGAGTTCAAGACCATAGTCAAAAGTTTTAGTAAAGCATAGAAAGGGTCTTCGACACAAGCTGGGGTATAACATTTCTCCGCAAGTTACTTGGGGTAAGACAATATGCATGAGTGCATAGCGCAGATTCCAATATCTATCATTGCCGGCTATGCTCTATTGTAGGCTCAAGACAAAGTCCAATAATTAAATACTAGCTCGTAAGACGGTAACCTCCGGGTAAGACGCATCGCCGCTTTTGGTGAACATTGCCCCGGTGTGGTTGTTGTAGGTCAAGTTGGCGAAAGCCTCAACGATGCCAGCAACCACCTTCGCCGCTTTTCCAAACTCCAAAGTTCCTAACTCGGCTTGCAATAGGACCTTGGCTGTCTCCGGCAGACTGGTGTTCAGAGAAGCGATGAGAGTTGGGAAGTCTGTGAAACTTGCGTGGACGGTCCCAGTGACACTCAAGTCGGCTTTCTTACCGCGTAGAACGCTGTAGAACTGGTCCCAGGTGGGGTCTTCGGCGGCGTGCCCCGGCCTTCCCACGAGTGCGAAAGGCCGGTCGAGCCCTTCTTCGAGGACAGGGCTGAAGAGCTTACCGTCAATTCCCACACCTCCCATAATCCGAGGGTCTGTCAACATCGCCGCGGCCGCAGTAGCACCACCAAGGGAGTGACCAAACATGATGGTGCGATCTAGGTCAATGCCTACAACAGGGTTCTTGGAGAGATGGGAAAGGACAAAGGACGTGTCTTGAGCCCGAACCTGTTGCATTGTAAACATTTATTCTACTCGATTCATGAATTTGGGTGTAATACCTTGGTTAGGAATTCCAGCTGTGTTGTATTCTCGGTGTCCAGGTCCACTGCCGTGTAGACGGTACCATCAGGGAACTCGACATATGAGGGGTCGTAAGGATGGTCGATGGTAACAACAGCAAACCCGCGACTTGCGACTTCTCGTGCCATGGCGCCGTACAGCAATCTGGGATTGCCCCAGCCCGGTGAGAACAACACGAGGGGATACTTGGAATGGGTTCGCTGACAAGCACGGCTCTTGGTCCTGCAAAAGTCCATCTCAAAGGAGGAAAACGTGCCGTCGGGAAGCCCCACAGCAGTCCCAAGTTGATCGTAAGCTTTGGCGACCAGTGGCGTCATGTATGGCACCCTTTCCCGACGAATACAAGGGGTCTTGGACTCATCAACAGGAAGAAAAGTCGAGATCATTACTTGACGGGCGTGGGAATTGTTGCTGAGTGCATAGGGATCCATTCGAGAGTGGTCGGTGAGGCCTTGGACAGACATGGAGACCGCATAAGGCCCGGTAGGCGGCGAGACGAGGACGGCTTGTGCAGACGAGGCCAGAAGCCAAAAGATGTAAGTGTAGAACATGGCTGTAAAGCTTTAGAGATTAAGCAGGTGCTTGTTTTGTTGAATCCTTGGTAGTTTTGAAGTTGAAATGAAGTTGTTGATAAACTTTCCAGTTTGAATCACGAAGTCGAAGCATCTTATACACAATCATCGTCATTTCGTGATGCCTTTGCGGATGTCATTTCGCACGATTGCTTCCCATATCAGGCAAGCGGAGTGAGTCCACTAGGCTGAGAGAACCCCTGCCTAGCTAGCGACTGACAACCGGTTCACCGTTCATCTCCTCAATCCCCATTTTAGCTGAAGTTAACACTGTAATGTAATGTAATTGGTGAATAATGCCAACGACTCCTATTCACGCCCAGTTCGTCGTTAGCGCCGCCCAATTGCTTCCGTTTTGGGTTTGGCGTATCGACACGGGCCTCCACTTCGAGATGCATGTCTCTGTCGTTGCCAATGACTAAGGTATTTCATGTCTGGCACTCCTCAAAGTAGCAGAACGGCTTGTTTCGATCTCCAGAACAGGAGAGCATGATACGAAGAATTCATGCGACAGAGCTTTGCCTAAACAGGCGCTATCCTCGCGATGTCTCTTGGCCCATTTGACCGCCGGACCAGAAGGTCTCGCTGCTTTGCGTGCGCCGCAAGTCACTCCAAGGTAGGCATCCTACGTCCCCAGCTCTTTGCGGTTGGCTGACTGATCCCAGTGCTCCGGCGTGAGTCCTTGTACAAGATGCCAGAAACGCGAAATCGAATGCCTCTTTTCAACGTCGCCTCCTGGAGCCAAGGGTGCAGTCATCAAGCTGGAGAGAGGGAAGATGCACACGCCCAAGGACTTTCGGCCTCCAGCAGCGACGCGTCCTCAAAAGCCCATTCCTGATGCCACAACCAGTTATCTGTTCTACTTCGATATGTTCGTTCGAACAAATAGTTTCACCGGACGAGAGCCATCTTTCATTTTTGACGTCCAACACTTAATAAAGTCTTCTAATGATCTGGTCCCACACCCGAGTCGTTCGCTGTTCGATGCCATGCTCGCACTCGGAGCCATGCAAGCCCATTCCCTTGGCGCTATGACACACCGCAACAACCTGGGCTTTGCCCTGCGGTCATATCAACAGTCTATTCATGAACTGCGTAATGCAGTCTCAAACTTCTCTCCGACGCAGAGAGACTCCATAGCCTGGTCTACTTTCTTTCTTGGCTTATTCGAGGTGAGTGAGATTCAAATGTTGCCAACCTTGGTCCCCGCTCAAGTGCTGACGCAACTACAGCTGCTGCAAGACGCCTCGGGACAAAAATGGCTTCAACACATGGTCTTTGGCACAGCACAAGCCCTTGTTGCCAGCGGTCCTGCGGTGTGTGAGTCAGGCACGATGAAAACGTTCTTCATTCAGGCACGCACATTCGAAGCCTGCAGATCAATCATTTTCAATCAGCCCAGCTTTCTGGCAAGTCCGGAATGGATCAGCCTAACAGACTACCTCTCGACCAATTTGGATGAAATTCTCAAGTTGGTAGTACTATGTTCTAGCTTGCGTGTTCGGTAAGTTTTCCCGTGGCATGCGGTGTTGTTCAACCTATAGTAGATAAGAGGCTGATGCATTGTGATGAAGAACGGCCGAATTTACAAGCAAGGCTTTTCCAGCTCAGGTTACGTCGGACGCAAACCTGAGCGAAGGCCTGGAGCTGGCAACCGATGGTTTCGGCTTGCGAGAAGCACTTGATTCTTGGAAGCTTACCACGTGGTTTCTTCCGGAATCACCGGACGAGATGTTGCTGTCAAGTACATACTACTCAGCCACCAGCATTTATCTCTCAGGAAACTATGACTATGACTTGGCACATTGGCAAGCAATAGGCGTTGCAGTGCCAATACTAAGTGCAAAGCAGATTGAGGTGCATTTTGATGCCATCGTCGTGACAGTCAAAGAGGCTTTGAAAGGATCTCGTCTGTCGCCTTTGCTGTTCTTATTTCCACTGAGAGTTGCGGGGTCACGGGCGAAGCAGTCTCAGCAGCGAGAGGCTGTCATAGACTTGTTGCAAATCATCCGACGTAACTTTATCGTGGCGGATACGATGCTGGAGGAGCTAAAAGAATTGTGGACTCGGACTGTTGGCTAAGTGTAGTGCAAGGTGTTGGATGACCCGGCTTGTCGGTATTTACTTCAGCTTAAAAGCCCCGAGAACTTGGCAGCCCTTTTCCTTGTGCTTAGTGAGAGCGTGTAACTGATGACGGCTATCCCATCGAATGCCACTGGACCTTATCTTTGCCAAGGCTGAAATTCCACTCAAGAGTCACTTCTTCTCCAAAACCTGGGTAGTACATATCTAGATCATCGGATCTTGGTAATTGAATATTTTCGGTGATGTCGGCCGGGTGGTAAATGTGGTTTTTAGTAGGCGGGTCTTGAGTAGACATAGTTGCTTTTGGTTATAGTTGGAATAAACGAATTTTCGTTTATAGGTATGTAAAGAGAGTCTTATTGATGGTGAAGTTTGGTTGAGATAAAGAGGGGTTAGCCTAGGGTTATATAGACGTAGTCTTTTGTAGGGCTGCCTACAGCGAGTAGATTATGTAATACCCCTAAGTATGTATCTTATGTAGGCAGATACAGTCAAGTAAACTTTCAACCTCTACTTCTTCCGGTTACCTCTAGTTATGAAATAGCTAGAAATTGTTGGGACCAATGGTTCACTAGGCTCCTTGCTCCCGCATCGTACGTAGAAATGGTAAGTTTCAAAACCCAGCATCTTTCTAGTGAGAACGCTGTTTGCAGAAACGGTATATCCTGCATTAAAAATGTAAGAACCTAAAAAAAGTAGACGTGCTTTTCTGTGAAAAAGCAGGTAAAGAATTTATTTTTTATTTTTAAAGCATGACCTAGGTAGTTTGCAATAACAGTGTATAAGTTTCTCAGCTCATCGCTGAGTTTCAAGTCCTCAAGGATTTTGTCACATTCAAGTGTATCTTAATTTGACTTCAGTGGTACAGAAGTTTTAAAGATGGAAAATCTCGTTCATATTTTCTTTCTGCCAGTTACATATGCCTTCCGATATACTTAGAAGTTGTAGCCCATGACCGTGTGTTCTGTACTTCTGTGTTTTACACCGCATGCGTAGGAGCTGTCTACTGGGAAATAATTCCACACATGCCGCACTCCCTTCCACACACTGCTTACATGACCGCTCCTACACTAAGACACAGGATCCACATGTGAATCATAAGCAGAAAAACTGACAAACTGGTAAATAGCTTAACTGACAGAAGTGAACATAGTAATACATGCCCTACTATTCCATACCACTTTCCTTCCACCATTTGAACCGATAGGAAAACAGCGTGGCTGGCGTTTCTTTCTCAAACCGCTCTCTCCATCCTGTTGGCATTTCACCATGGAATCTAATGACTTGAAGATTCTTCAAGCCTGACAAAATGTTGAAAAATTCATTTTGTTTTTTTTCTGCAAGCTTCGCCTCCCACCCCTTAATACTACCACTGCTTGGCCTAGGTTCCCAATCGATAACGAGTTCGGAAAGGTTGGTTGCTCGTTGTGAGACTTCACTGAACATGCCAAGCCAGCGATTCCAGTTTGGGTACTCCATGGCGACGAGAACATAGAGTCGTTGAAGGCGTTCGAATCGAAGGGTCCCATGAACAGCAAAACCAACACGTGGACCACCCCACCCGGCGGTATGCACTCTCATAACGGCATCAGAGTGGACTTGCCGGTGAACCTCTCGGTATGCTCGTTTGCATGTGAGCATCAGTGGAGGTATAGGTTTCGCATATCCCTCTTGCTCAATATAGAGATGCAGGGGCCGTAAGGTGTCGCCAAAGTCTTCGAGGTCGAATGAGAGATAGTACGCATAAATCTGCTCTCTAATCTCCCAGGGGAGCTGGAACAGCTGAGAGCTATTCTGTTCGGCAGCCATGTTAACACCACCTTTCCTACAGAGTGTTAGACATTTTATTCGAAAGCGATCGCAGGTTGGGTGCGTACATCTTCGCAAAAAGTAATGTGGTTCTAGAAAATATTCCTTTACGACGGTAGGTTGCTTCTAAGATTCGGACTACCATAAAACTTTCTTTGTTAAATGAATATGGCAGCCTGTTTGGCTATTTTGCTGCCTGGTACATTCCGGAAGTCCCGTTTGAGGATGTCGGATGTTCGGGTTGACCCGCCTCCGGATGCTTACGCGAGCCCCCGTATTCGGTCCCGAACTGCATCTTGTGGATTGTCACAAACATACGGACGCCGGTTTCAAACGGCGAGAGAAATAGCGCTAGTCAAGACCAAGCTTAGACTGATTTCATCAATAGGACAATTGTGCAAGACAAAAGGTAGGAGAGGAGTACCTATCCTTATCACATCTTAGACGACAGAAGCCGGGTGGCATTCTAACTGCAGTGAAGGATATATCAGCAATTGAGATAGACTTTTGGTGCACAAGCGGAAATGTTTCCATTTCGGGAAAGTGGCTGACAAGCAATTCAGACTAATCTGGAAAAAACTACTAGAACATTTGGATGTGTCATTTTTTGGAGCCTAACTTGCTGCAAAAGTGCCATTGAAGGGACACTCATTGGCTAATGTATATCCGGACCAGTTGTCCACGTCAATACGGAGTACTACGACGGAGATACTTTGATTTCCCCACACTCGGGTGCTCCGGTAAAGATTTAGCACAGTCGGTAGCCAATTCTTAGTAACGATCATTGTCCTATTGGGGCACCGGTATACACAATACCAGCCAGGAAAACAAGGTTAGAATATCATGACCCAGTTTGACGTCAGTGTTGCATAGCAAACCCAAAATCCACACACTAGCGTCCCCAGCTGGCTGGAGACTATGTTGCATCTCATGCATGACAGGTTATGTGGAATGGATGAACCGCGGAGCCGGGCGTCCGAAATAGTCTCGGCACGCTCATTTTCCACTTCTTTATCCTTCTCCACCTTCTCAATATGTCGCCGGATCCCAAGTCAAAACAAGCTCGTTCTCGTGCCCTGGTCCTCGATCTCCCCGAGCCCAAGAGAGAGCTTCGCATTGCCGAGAAAAGATCTGTTTTGTTAGCGTAGACAGATAGCCCGTCTATCGAAAATTCATTTTCGGCCGAAACAACAATTCAGCTCGAAACTTGGTGTTGCTCGACTGGCACAATGGGCTCAAATCCGGCTATACAGCAGATATCCAGAAATGCTATCGAGGATATCTGGGGCCCCCGAACACCTTACAAGCACGTATGGCCTACTCGAGTCGATATCTCCTGCGAGGATGAGCCCGATAACTGGGTCCAAAGTGCTTGTGTCTTGTGCAGGTATGTTGTGAGGTCCCCATGGGATCCAATTCATCTGCAAAGGTTCATAGGCTTACTGACATCGTTAGCAACGGCTGCGGTCTTGACATAGGTGTCAAAGACGGAAAAGTTGTGGGTGTTAGAGGGCGCGCTACGGACCGAGTCAACAAAGGAAGGCTTGGACCTAAGGGATTGCATGGGTGAGTTGCTTGTCATAAAGCAAGACCTCCACGTTTTGTCAGCAGTCTTATCGAGAACATGAGCTTACAAGGGTATGAGGTAGCTGGAAAAGCATCAACTCACAAGAGCGACTGACTCATCCGCTAATTCGGCGCAACGGAAAACTAGAGCGAGCAACGTGGGATGAGGCAATGGGCCTGGTAGCCAAACGCTCGAAAGAGCTAATTGAACGACTTACGAGCCATAGCATTGCATTCTATACCTCCGGTCAACTATTCTTGGAAGAATACTATGCATTGGCTGTGATTGGCAAAGCAGGACTTCATACTTTACACATGTAAGTTTATTGCATTCTTGTGCGATGAGAAAGATTGGTTGTTGACTGTTGCTAGGGACGGAAACACACGTCTTTGCACCGCAACGGCAGCAACATCAATGAGAGAGTCATTTGGTTCGGATGGCCAGCCTGGATCATACGAGGACATTGACTACACAGATTGTCTTTTCCTCACTGGACACAATGTTGCAGCTACTCAAACGGTCTTATGGTCCAGGATGCTGGATCGACTGGATGGCCCGAATCCTCCGAAGCTCATTGTCATTGATCCGCGTCTCTCCGAGACTGCACGAAGGGCGACTGTTCATCTTTCACCAAGAATTGGTACGAATTTGGCTGTTCTCAACGGTATTCAGCATCTGATGTTCAAAAATGGCTGGATCAACAATGATTTTACGTCAGAGCATGTCGTGGGGCTTGAGGAGCTGAAAAGAACAGTAGCGGAATACACACCTGACAAGGTCGAAGAGATCACAGGAATCCCAGCAAAGGACCTCGAAGAGGCAGCCACTATCATTGGGAACACCCCTAGTCTCTTATCTACCGCTTTACAGGGAGTCTATCAGTCAAACCAAGCGACGGCGAGCGCATGCCAGATCAACAACATTAACCTACTGAGGGGTTTGATTGGCAAGCCTGGAAGCGGCATTCTACAGATGAACGGCCAGCCAACAGCACAGAACAACCGTGAAGCCGGCTGCGATGGAGAGTTCCCCGGATTTCGCAACCACAAGAACCCGGTTCATATGCAAGAGCTCGCTGATCTCTGGAACATCGACCCTATCAAAGTACCTCACTGGAACGAACCGACTCACATCGAAAACCTCCTGAACTACATCGAGGACGGCTCTATTAGGATGATGTGGATATCTGGCACGAACCCTCTTGTCAGTCTTCCAAACTTGCCAAGAATTCGTAAGCTTCTCACCGACCCTGCACTCTTCGTGGTGTGTCAAGACATCTTCATGACCGAGACCGCTGCTGTGGCGGACGTTGTCCTGCCTGCCGCGCAGTGGGGAGAAAAAACGGGTTGCTTCACCAATGTTGACCGAACGGTTCATCTTTCTCACAAAGCTGTTGAACCACCTGGAGAAGCAAGGTCCGACCTTGACATCTTCCTTGATTATGGCCGTCGAATGGATTTCAGAGACAAAGACGGCAACCTCCTGCTTCCCTATAAGAATTCAGAAGAAGTATTCAGTGCCTGGAAAAAGATGTCATACGGTCGTCCTTGCGATTACAGTGAGATGACCTACGACAAGCTTACCGGAGGCTCGGGCATCCAATGGCCCTGCAACAAAGAAAACCCTCAGGGTACCGAGAGACTTTTTAGCGATGGGAAGTTTTATACCGACATTGAAGTTTGCGAAAGCTATGGGCACGACCTAGAAACAGGAGCACCCTACACCAAAACAGACTATGCATCCTTCAACCCGGCTGGTCGAGCTATTCTGAAATCATGCCATTACGCTCCATCGATGGAGGAGACGACTGATGAATACCCCCTGAGACTGTCAACTGGTCGCAACGTGTATCAGTTTCACACCAGGACAAAAACTGGCCGGTCTAAGGAGCTTCAAGATGCATGCCCCGAGCCCGAGGTTCGGATTTCTAAAGAGGATGCAGCGAAGATGGATATTCAAACCGGAGACAACGTCGTTGTCAAATCTCGTCGAGGAGCCGTTGAACTAAAGGCAAAGGTTGGCGGAATCTCCACCGGACAAATTTTCATTCCGTTTCACTTTGGGTACTTTGACGCAAAGGATGGCAAAGCAAGAGCAGCGAATGAGTTGACTGTTGGTGAGTTTTGAAACATAATGAAGCAAAATAGCCGGCATGCTGATCATGACATGCGACAGATCGATGGGATCCAATCTCAAAACAACCCATGTTCAAATCCGGAGCTGTTCGTGTAGAGAAGATAGAAGCAGGTGAGGAGCCTCACTTCAAAGAGCTTCAATCGGATGCCGAACAGGCAGTGATCAACAAGAGAGTTGAGGCTGTGGAAGATGACTCGACTCGGCGAAAGCGACTTCTCGAAACCTGGCTCGGAGAAACTTTTGAAAGCATCAAGCAACTATCTGAAATCTACAGCACGTTGCTTCCTGACCTGTGTCACGACCTGGAAATCGAGGGCGGGGTGCTTGTTCTGCAAAGGATCGCAAAAAGGGTGGAAACAGTCCTTGGCGAGCAAGTCGACAAACTTGGAGAGGACGTCTGCGCGGGGAGCAAGAAAGCCGAGTCGTTGAGAAGCTCTCTATTTCCGCCAGTCGATACTAGGAGAAGTCCCTACGAGATCATGGAGACGTTGCAGGGGTTGCATATATACCTTTCTCATATCGAAGGCGGTTTGACTGCGCTTCTTCCTGTGAGCCAGGCAACGTGGGATGAGGAATTTTACAAAGCGGTTCAGTTTGCCCAGGCTGGTATGCATCGCATGCAATCATGGGTTGCTCAGCAAATGCAAGTTAGGGCACCACAAACTTTATTGGTTCCGGCGTTGGTGAGGGATTGAGCCTTCATTACAACATCAAACACAGTTTTACAGGACGGGAACATTAACTAGATAATTCGAAATAATTCACCAATTCAAAACTCTCGTGAACCATGGTGTGTGTATAAACTTTGGAATAAATTAGAAGAATTGAGCTTTTCACGAGAGCATTCATTTTGAAATATGGTACATCAGATATCTCATATGAAGGATGATGGATCCGAACTCATGGGCCGAAAATTCAACTACCGCGGAGAAGCCGAGCAGAATTTGAAAACATTACGGCATCTGATTCCAAACTAAAATCCTGACGTCACTATTACAAAGTGGAAAACCGCAGCTGAGGACTGATTCATGTCATGTACTGCTCCTCCTGAACCATGAACTAGTCTTTACCATTCACACATCAACACGCCAAGGAACCCCGGCAGACCCGGCAAATGTGAGAAGAAGGGTCATTTCTTATTCCGTCATTCAAGAATAGTCCAACTCGCATCCAAGATTGGGGGGGTGCTTAAACGCAGCCCCAGAACAAGTAATCGTTTTATACAACGCGCCGTGCTCGATTTTACCACCACAAGCAACAACAATATGACGTCCTACGAGAAAGCCCTTGGCACATTGGAACGAGTGGCCGAGGATGTAAGAAGTGGAGACACATACACTTCAGAAAGACAAGAGGATATCCTTCTGTACAATGCAGTGGGCCGTGTAGCCGCCGCTGACTACACCAGCCCGGCCGCCACTCCGCGATTTGACACATCGGCTATGGATGGATATGCCGTGTGCTCCGAAGCTACGACTCACGCATCCCCCGAGAATCCTCTGATTTTACAAGTTCGCGGATCAATTGCCGCGGGTGACGAACCAGTAGTTCTCAACAAGGAGGTCTTCCACGGTTTCGCAGAGCCATGCCTGGAAATCATGACTGGTGGCATCTTTCCAAATGTGGCTGATTCGAAGCGACAATTTGATGCCTGTGTTCGTATCGAAGATACTGCCATGGTGTCGAATACACCCGAAAAGGGCTGCCAAATCATGATCACGAAGCCGGTGCTCCCTGATGCAAACCGGAGATTTGCTGGTTGTGACATGCAGGCCGGCGAGAAGATCCTTCGCAAAGGAGATACAATTCGGTCTTCACATATTCTACCTCTTGCATCAGTGGGTGCTACTGTCTTGAAAGTCTTCAGGAAACCGCGAGTTGCGGTCTGGTCCACAGGAAAGGAGCTAGTTTCGAGAGATGCAAGCCATATTCCAGACATCAACGGACCCTTTCTCATGGCGGCACTCCAGGAGCTCGGTGCGGAGCCCAAGTTTCTGGGTATCCTAAACGACAATGAGATGGATGTTAGGGAGGCTCTACAAGAGGCAGTCGACGGAAATCAGTTCGACATGGTCATCACATCAGGTGGAGTGTCGGTTGGAAAATACGACTTCATCGCACCCGCTGTCATAAGCCTTGGAGGAACAGTCTGCTTTCATGGGGTTTCAATCCGACCAGGACACCCGGTACTGTTCGCACAAGTACCGAGTCGGTTTCGAAATATTCCCTTTTTCGGACTTCCTGGAAATCCTGGTGCTACAGCGGCTTGCTTTAGATTTCTCGTAGCCCCCTTTATGCGGCACTTGCATGAGCAACCAACTGAAAAGCCCATCATGGCTAAGTTCGAAGACAGCTGGCAGGTATCAAGCGGCTGTAAGAAGACCACATCTCCAGGGCTTCCTCCTCTGACTCATTTCCGGCACGGTATTTTGAGACAGGACCAACAGGGAGACATGGTCGTGGAATTGAGCAAACAGCAGAGTCCTGCGAAGCTTGGGCCGTTCACTAGTGCAAACTGTTGGGTCCAGATGAGCGGATCATCATACAAGGGACTGGTTCCATGTTACTCCACGTCAAGTTCAACCAGTTTTCTCTGAACTGCGACAAAGCTCTTTCCATAAATATCAGTAATTGTAAGCGGTCGCTGAGCGATATACTGTCAAATAATTTTAATACATCACACCTTTCCCTTCGGCGCTTCAAAAGTGAGGGGCTCCAATGAGCCCAGTTTCATGTCTTCAATGGCTTTCACCCATTCCTCCATAGTATTCACATTGGTGAGCCACCATTCACAGCCAGGTGGCGTGTCCACCATTAAGCCATCGAGTTCCTTGACGGTCGCTGCCGGACTTGAGTGTCCGCGGGCCACCCGCTCTGACAGGCGTGATAACGCAGCCGGGGCCCAAATAGCGACCAAGGGCTCGCAAAATCCTTCTGCTGAGCGGTAGCAGGTTACCGGTACAGCGTCTCGTTTATACATGAGAAGATATATGGCATCGGGCGGAAGTAGAGGATAGTCGCAGGCGACGACAACCCAATTGGCCCAACGATCAAATCGGTAAGCGGCGAGCAGTCCGGCAGCTGGTCCAGCAGAGTAACGAGAATCGTTTGGGTGTTCGTCGCGAAGAATTTTCACTCTTGGTGCTTTTGGTGAGTCCTCATCTTCGGGGGTCAGCTCGGCATCAGCCGAAAGTAAACTTTCGAGGTATTCGTCCGTCTCTGACTCTTGGGCCAATGAAATGTATATGGTTTGCGGCTCTGGGAAAATTGACCGAAGCAGTTCCAGCTGTCGCCGGTACAAGGGGGTCCCATCAGGCATGCGGAGGAGGTGTTTGGGTGTGCCCATCCGAGTTGATTTGCCCCCGGCCAGGAGGAGTGGCCTCATTGAGGGTAGTCCCATTGTCAAACTAACCTTATGTTCCCACCAACAAGGAACGAAACCAAGAAAGAGCCTGAAACGAATGATGGATCGCAATTCGTGTGCCTATATGATCTTCCGATTTATTCAGAATTACCGGGATTGATGGAATGGTCGGCACAGCATACAAACCGACTTTTGAATGATGTTAGCTCTCTACCCCATTTCTTTTGCATTGTGGCTTTCTAAACGTCATTATTACGCCACGACAGCGGGCCGGGGCGGCCGTCTAAGTCGCTGACAATGGGTACAATGGAACCGACTCATCGGGTAGAGCAAAGACCATGTAAAAACCATGACAACACTGTAAAATAAGGCGACTTATTCAGCACATTTCCCTTCTGGGCTGACTACGGATTTAATATCTCCTCGGGGGTGCAAAGGTCGATGCACTTTAGCTGGGCATGGACTCTACATCGGCTCTACTGCAAACCCCCCATTTTCTCTTCTTGGCTCCTTGTCTTTATTTTGCACTGCCCAGGAACCTGATCGTCGCCGAGAGGGCCAATCATCATACCTTACCCAAGACACAGCCATTCGCTCTGATAACTTCCCGATTCTGAAGTTCCCAATCATACTTGGCACCATCTCCTTCGTCGAATCCGTGTCGAGATGCCCCTGTCTTCCAAGCCCCCAGATTTGTCTCCAACAAATTCCCACCGCAGACAATCAGTCGTTCTCACTTCAATACGCAACTTCTCATCACAATGGTTCCTTTTACCGCAAGGCACAGCCATCATCGCCGCAATTTTGAAACAACTCGACTATCGCTTCGATGGCCTCACAATCATCTCGTACCTCTTTTGGGTGACGGCCATGGTTCTTTTGTTGCTCATGGTGTGTCTGTATCTCGTCCGGCTTGCTCTGTACCCTCGCCGCGTCCTCCATGCTCTTAAGACCGACGATGTCGAACTCTCAGGCCTCTCAAGCGTATCCATCGCTTTCACGTCCATCATCCAGATGGCATCTTTAACAGTAGTTTCAGGCTGGGGCGGGCCATGGAGCAAGATCATCTACGTGTTGTGGTGGGTTGCTTTTGGGCTGGCCGTCGTTGTCACCGTCGTGCTGCCTTTCGTTTTCATTAAGGTTTACCCCTCCGGTGTCCCCCACATCTCTCCAGCGACCCAGCTCCCACTTATTGCAGCCCTAACGGCTGCGGCCGGCGGTGGGACGATATGCAACACAGCCATGCTTAGCAGCGACCAACAAATCCCCGTCATAATCGTGTCGTACCTGCTTATTGGCATGGCTCTGCCGCTGGCTTTCGCGCTGGACGTGTTGTTCTGGGCGCGGCTTCTGGGCAACTACCAACCGCCGAAACCAAAGGCATTTCAAGATATGATCCTCTGCGGTCCTTGGGGACAGTCCAGTTTTGCTCTTCAGATGCTAGGCAAAGCGGTCATAGGGGGCAGTTTCGCTTCGTACGCCAGCGGGACATTCTTGACGGCGGATGCTGCGGCGCCAGTGGGATACACCAGCATTTTCGCAGGCCTGGCTGCGTGGGGGCTGGGGACTTTCTGGTGGTTCTTCGCCATCATGGGCGTCATGAACGCGTCCTTTGAAGGGATGAGACCGAAACCTATACCCTATACCCTTGCCGGTTGGGCACTGGTTTTCCCATGGGTAAGCGGTCGCTTCTTTGATTCTGGCTCAACTCAACTAACATTCCCGTAGGGTGTTTATACTAACGCTGCCGTTCAGCTGGGCAAGATCCTGGACTCGAGAGCATTCAAAGTGTGGTCTACATGCCTGGCGCTTGTACTGGTAATCATATGGATTTTTAATGTTACTATGACTATACGAATGTTGATTTTCAAGCGCCCTAGCGCAAGGAAACATTAATCAACTTTCGATTGATGATGTAATTGATCAAAGGCGTTTGGTGTTTAGAGTAAAGCATGGATATGGGCAACCGGAAAAGAAATCACAATATTGTACATAATATGTACCCATGTCAGCAGTAACGGCCTAACCATATGTGAACAAATCTACGAACTGCAGTATAATCAGGTCAACTACCTTCACAGAAACTATCATGTCGCAAAACTGCTCAGCACTTGCGAATGTTGCTTGCATAAGTTTGAGAAGCTGAATCTATGGTATAGCTTAAATGCAGCTACACTTAATGTGATAAGTTGATTAAAAAAAGCAGTGCTCTATTTGCACCGGCTCAAAACTCTGTTGAAAAGAACTGTAACTAAATGTATTACACATACATAAGGAGTTCTTTTGGGCTGCGAGCCTGAGCTATCGCTGTTTTAAGACGGAGTCAATCCCGTCGTCGCTGCGTTCCGCGAGACCGGCACAGCCGCCAGACTTGTCTCGAGCGCCGTGCTCCCACTGCTCGCCGGGCATGGACGGCCTGTGCGATGGAGTTTTAAGCCCTTTCTGATTGGCCAAAACTCATCAGGTGACATTGCAGTATTGCAGGACAGACTAAGCCACGACTTGCTTTCGATCCTGACGTCAATCTCACTAGACCAACTTAAGCCTGTCGAAGCCGCACAGCATGATTCTCTGTATGAGTCAACTGTCATGAGCCACATAGCACTTCACGGTACTGCCTGCATAGGGTGTCGCAGGCGGGGCCGGAAGTGCGACCGCACATTGCCAACGTGTATGAGCTGTGAGCAACGGGGGACGATTTGCGAAGGCTACGTAACGAAATGGCCAGGTGTTGCAGCGCGTGGCAAGCTCGCAGGAAAGACTATTCCTGTTGTCGATAGTTCAGTTGCTATTCCAAAGCCGAGCTCCGCTGCAGCAAGGGCGAGACAGAGACAACCACCACTGCTGCGAGATCAAAAACACATACCTGCGGATTCTGCAAATCGGCCCACTAAGCACGGCTCCCTCGATGATATTCCCTTCCCAAAAAACAACTTGAGCTCGATCAGTGATGATGAGGTCTCTAAACTGGTCCAACACTGTAAATATCAGCAACTAAATTCCTTACAATCACTGCTGACTTCCAACTAGACATCGGAGACTTGAGCAGTATCTTCTATCTCGGCAACGGTCCTAGCAACAACCCAATGTTTCACTACGTTCTCCCCTTGGTGGATAGTGTGCCTCCTATTCGCTTCGCTCTTGCTGGATCCGCGTCTTGTCACATTGCTGCCCGAAACTCAGACGAGGCGCTCGAAAGAAAGAGTCTTCGTCTGCGTGTTCACGCCACGCGTCTTTTGCGGGAGATGCTGCAAGACCCCAGCACGACGTCAGATCAATCCATTTTGGCCAGCATACTGATGCTTGCGCAGCTCGACGTAAGATATGCTCAGATTGGCAGTCTCTTGGTTGAAAAGTTTGTTTAACACTATATAGATGTGTTCCGGAGACTGCACTGAGTTTGAAACGCACCTGAAGGCAGCAGCAGCTGTCATCCGTCACCCACGTTATGACAGCGCAACAAACAAGTATTACTTTGAGCAGCGGCTTGCATGGTGAGCAATCCAATCTCAGCATTAGGTAATCTTGTCTAAATAGTTTGAACTTGTAGGCTTGACATGATGAGCTCGACAACTTCCACTCGGCTTCCAAACTTGACAGTAGAGGAATTTAAGACGATACTTGGACGCCTCACAAGTAATGGTGGTACTGGGGAGTGGAGCTATGATGTATTTCTCTGTCCTGTTGACCTATTTGAGATCATCACGGATATTACAATGCTTTTCAAAAAGCAGCAAAAGGCGGCTGACATTAGTCAAATGGAGCTGCAGCAGATCGAACATTTGGGGAGTCGTCTACGCGAATGGCAATGCCCTAGAGAATTTTCAGGCTCAAGGAAGCACATGGTCGAGGCCTGGAGACTTGGAATCATGGCTTATCTGAGACAACTGTTCCATTTTACTGATCAGGCCGGAGCAGCGGCTCTACTGGGTCCGATTTTGGACCATGCAAAACTCATCCCACCGGCCACGTCTTGGAGCTTTGCCCTCACATGGCCCATTTTTCAGGCTTCAGTCACTCTAGGCGACGGCGCTCAGGAGGAAAAGACTTGGATAAGAGAACACCTGAGGCATGCTCTCCAAGCTGTTGGGTGCCGACATTTTCCAAACGCGTTAGAGACGTTGGAGATGGCCTGGGAGCATCCTAATCAGCTTAACCCTATTTTTACCAAATTTCATGACCGCACTATCATATTGGTGTAGTTCGTTGATGGGAAAGGCCAGAAGATGAAACCTAGAATCTAACCTCAAAGAGGAATTCAAGAAGTTCTTCATTTGCAATGATGGGGGTTTCCACCGATAAGCCTTACTTACGTGCTAAGAAATGAATTACCCTAAAGAGATCTTGGATACATTCTGAGCCCAAAACTTAGATAAAGTCTCGCAGTTGCCAAACTCATTGCGAATGTCTCGCCAACACCGCCTCGACTTCATTCCTGATTTCCTCTTTCACTGCCTCAGGTGCCCAGCACATGTCGATTGCGTTGTTTGTCAAAACTACCATATCGCGATTGCTAAAGTCACACATCTTCTTCACGAGGAGCATATCATGTAGAATCCAGCAGTCCTCCATGTATGCTGGATCGTCACTTGCGATCGAGATGGGGATACCAGCGTCATACAGGGTCCGGATTCTAGGGAAGATCTCCTCGACGGGCTCATGTCGTAGATAGCCCCACGGGGTGATGGTGTGACCGATACCTTTGCTCTTGATGAGACGCATGATTTCTTCATCTTGGGCAGCGTTGAGGCCATGGTCAATACGATCTGCACCAGTTCCGCCCAGGTCCGTGACTACTTGGCGGATATGTTTGTGAGTGTCTTTTTGTCCGACGTCACAATGCGCGGTGATGCGGAAGCCGGCTTGTCTGGCCTGGTTGTATATGTCTGAGAACATGGAGGGTGGTCGATCGTTCTCATCCGAGTCCAGACCAATTCCAATGACCATGTCTCGGTAAGGCAAAACGGCCTGGTAGTGTTCCATGGCCGACTCCACTGGCATGTCTCGCAGAAAGCACATGATCCATTTGGACTTGATCTATTGTATACTGTCAGTATGTGTCATATGATGGAATAGGTAGGTAGTTACGTACGCCCAGGCGCTTCTCAGCTTCCTGCTGAGCCGTGCGGAATCCACCCATCATGGTCTCCCATGAGACGCCACGACGTGTGTGGCCCTGAGGGTCAAAGAACGGTTCGCAGTACCGGACATTCATCGAGGCGGCGTGCTCGAAGTAGTTCATGGCCAGATCATAAAAGTCCCGCTCAGTGACGAGCACCTCAAATCCCCCATAGTAGGCCTCGAAAAAGGTGAAACTCTCCTCAGCGTTGTCGATGCGATGACCAGGTCTCGGTTGGATGAGGTTGTAAGACTCTCTGAGCTGTTCCAGACTGTTGTATACAGTTCCAGTGCGCTCGAGCGTCAGGGTTTGGTTGTTTCGTTTGGCCAGCTCCCATCTCAACTCAGGGGTCAACGTGCCTTCGATATGAACGTGAAGTTCTACCTTGGGAAGCTCTATCAGGAACTTATCGTTCGTGTCTAGTAACTCTTGTCGTAGTACTAGACGTTCTTCAAGGGACATGGCGAACTCCATGGTGGATGATAGGGATGTTATGGACGATGGGTATATGGGAAGATATTATTGATAATAGGGTAAAATGGTATTCGATTTTTTGATGAAGAGAAAATGAACCAGAGTATCAGGTGCAGTGCGTTGGGCTTTATACGTGAGGAAGCCAACGTAGTCACTCATAAAAAACGGACTTTACACCACAATCCAGGTCAGATCTTACTTACATGCTGTCGACCAGACTAGTCCCAAACAGGCTGCAATTTCAGTCCGCACTGGCCACCCTAGGCACGACTCTTACCCCAGTAAAGCCGGTCTAGGTATTTAGGGTGTTGGGGCTAGTCCAAATATGGCTGCTATTTCAGTCAACACTCCCCGACATGATGGCTAAGCAACAAGGGTTTGTTTTCTCATGAGTCTTTTCCTGTTTGATACATTTTCTCCATCAGAGCATTGGATATCGATGCCTTTACTGGCTGCGGCTTGCGTATAAAAATTGGCAGCTTTCCCCTCACTTTTAAGTCAATGGAGTGCATGTGAGATGAGCATTTACGATTCGTGACCGCATAGTCAGGTAATTGAAGCTCGTGTCGATTGTTTTTCCAACTTTGTTTCTCTCGACAACGCTGATCCACAGGAATGGAAGACCATCGGGATCAGAATGGACATCTACTTAATAGCTTTTCTTACACGACTCAAATACACCTACTTTCTTTGAGTAGAAGCAAGTATTGACTACTGCCGGTGACCTGTTTCATCACCTGCCCTGAGAGTAACCGACGCAAACATCACGAGCACACAGGAATGGATATCTAACTGCTACCTAACCTTGGCAACCGCATAACCGCCCCGTGTGCAAGGGCAGCGAGGCCACGCCGCCGCTATGGATCCAGGCCAACATGCCATTGATAATGAATAATGATTTTATTTCATCTCCGCATTGTGTATGCTTTCTAGGAATAACGATTGGTAAAACTTGTGAGCAGCCAGTGTTGTGTTGGCATATTTTGGGTATCTCCACCACTGATCCGAGGGCGCATTTATTGCGAACATACTGTACCTTTCTTCGTAGTCATCTTCGGCCGATGTTTAGATTTTTATTGCCAACCGGGATCCCCATCAACCTGTTACTGCTAAATTCGGTCCTCCTCTTTACTCTCTTGTGGGCTAGCGATAAGTCTGGAATGTATGACAACGAAACTAGGTGAAGCTGCTTTAACTCCAATCCTCAGCATGAAAGCGATCCAGAAGAGGCAAATCTTTCGGGAAAAAAAACACAAAAAAACGAAAAGGTTCCTTACTCAGGCGATCCCTTGCCATATGTTTCCTATTGCCAGTGATTGTTGCTGTCGACTTGCAAACCCGATCATAGGATTTTCACCCGACATGAACGCCGTGCGCGGCTCGTATGGCTTTCACTCTTCTGAGTTTGCACTTTTTTGCGGGATGATCCTTTGAAATTCATTCGACCAAATATCATGGAGGAGGTAATTCTTTCGTTTGAGTGGATAACGACAAGCATACCTGAGAACCAATGGCATTTATCATGGCATTACCGAAGCCTCTCAGCCATGTTGCTATATTGATATAGCCATTGAGGTTTTTCGAACCGAAGTTGAACGTTCAGAATACGCTTTGCTATCTTTTATCATGGATGGATAAGATAATGAAAACGCGCTCAGATGGCTCTTTGCTGCATGTGTTTTGTTTTTGTTGAACAATTAAGCCGCGGCTGTCGTGAAGTACTTATGCCACATCTATGTAAATGATCATAAAGCGGGCTTTTTATGAAATGAGTATTTACTGTTATACTTTGGCGATAGCTAAAACAAGAACTACCATGCCGTTGATTTGCATGGAACTTATATAGTAGCAATTGCCACAGTTGTGTCAGCCCTCACTATCCCTGTTCGATTTTGTATTAACATAAGAGATCTTAATTTATCTTTGAAGTAGAGCGTTGAGGCATTGAGCCGTTGTTCAAGTCAATGAGACTCATCAAGTGGGATAATGTCTACGCATGTCATTGCGTCCTGCTAGTAAGTGAACAACTCGATAGTACATCCATATTTTCGATTAGAACCATACTCGAGTACTCTGATTATATTTCCGCAGGAATAGAGTCGTCCAGAGGTAGAGACCCTTGTAACTTTCCATGAGAGACCTGCTAGCCGGAATAATATGGTGACTTCGTGCTCATGGTTGTCCAACTTGGAGACAAATGTATACCTGGACTACTTAACAAGATCGAGTGGTATGTAAGGAAAAAAACTGAAACCCGCAAGATTCTATTAACAGCGGAAAAGCACTATAACCAATATCTAGTTTTAGTCTTTGAAAGACGCAGTCAGGCTTCGGCTTATAACCAAAATGTTAAGTGTGTTGAAAACAAATAATGGCCCCATCCATCAATCCATCCATCCCCTTATCTATCCCCTTTCTCCGAACAATACATCAAGGACTTAGCACTTGGATATTTCATTTAACAGAGCAGGCAGACAGGTTCGAGTGGCGACACTCCCCCGACGATTCCTGTGACAACACCAAAAATGTCATTGATTTTGCTGTCGCAGAAAGTTCCACAGAACCCGCCAGAGTTGCAGGTGACTGTCCACTTCACATAAGCTTGAAGTCCAGTGGAGTTCTCGTCGCCCTCGGCATAGTGTCGCACAAGCACGGTGCCCGTCGTGGGGTACTCATAATTATAGTACTTGAACTCGTATCCGGGCTCGCAAAGACCACCGGGTCGGCACTGTCCGTTGTAATGGCCCGTCTGGGTGGCCTTGGTACCTGCTACCGCCGGAGCAACGGCGTCCGTCAGGACCTGAGCGAGCTGGTTCGCCCGGTTGGGCAAGGTGAACAGACAATCGAATTTGATGCTGCAGTCGTTTCCAATCTTGTAGGACTGGTCTTTGCACTGGACGTCCTCCAAAGCGTCGTTGATGTTGCCAAAGGCTGCCTTGGGATCCCAGGCCGCCTCGTCCTTGGTGGTGCCTTGGACTCTGACGGTTACCTGGTCCTTGGACATGGTAAACTTGGACTCGGTGACCTGCTTCTTCACAGGGTCCTGGGCCGCGCCGCCTTCGGGCTCGTGGTAGCAAATGTACGCGGACGTACACTTGGTGCCGTCGCCGAGGTCAAAGACATGCTTGCCATGTTCGGCCCAGCACTTGAAGGCGTGTTCTTCAAACGTGTGCGAGGAGGTTCCGGCGTATGTCTTGGATTCGGCCCAGTCCTTGACGGAGGGGTCGATCCAGATTTTGAAGACGTCGTTGTTGGGGAATTTGACTGACACGCCCGAGGTTCTCCAGGGATAGGAACCGTCCCAGGGCACCTCTGCAATCATTTCGGGCTGGAGCCAGTCGCTGCCTCCGCTGGGGCTGCGCCCTCCAGGATAGTATCCAACCTGTCGAGAGGAAGATTGTCCGCCCGATTCAATACCGCAGTCAGCGAGGATGATTTCCTCTTTTGGGCGATACGCTCGTGGCAGGATTGCCGCTATGGCTTCATGGCCCGCAAGGAGAAAGAAACTAAAGCCGGCTAGGTTTCTCATGATGAATTCGAGAGCTGAATACCTAGGCTGGGTATAATGTGTAGACAACGCTGGATTGTACTTGAAGGCTATGACTTGACTAGATAGTTTGTCATGAGATGTGGCTATCTGTTCTGTCTTTATATCTTTTCTTACATGTAATCTTGACATTCATCTTGTCTGATCTTGTTTTTTGTTCTTTTTTTCCCCCTTCGGATAGCCACCCCCATGGGTTCCAATCTAGTGCGCCCCGAATAATAGCCTATCTAGAGCCATACAAGTTCAATTCTCTGGACCTTTGACAGCTGTTTAACGTGGGTCTTAGACTGTCTGTGCCTGGTATTCTGGGGATAGGTGGGACTACTAGCACTGCCTCGACAAGCTGCTAATTCCTAGCGTACAAGGTACGAGAGCTGCTTCTAGGGCTGAAAGAAATCCATCTACCTAATAGAAAACAGGGGATGTCCTCAAGAGTCATATTTCAGGTGGGTTTTGCCAATCTGTCGAGGTCGCCGACCTGGGCTTGGAGGGCCCACTAGAGTAAACGCGACCCCCTCGGAGGGAGTGGAGGCTGTAGGGCTCACGATGCAGTTGCTTGCAGGAATAGGCGGGGTTGACAGTGGGTGTGTAGTCGCCAAGGTCGCTGTGCATACGGCTGAATATACATGTCAATTAGCTTTCTTGTCCCACAAATACCGACATGCCCTGGTAGACGCCGATATTAAGGGTGTCATACCATTTTGAGGTTATTCTCGGCCGTTCCACCCCCTGGATGCCGTACTAGGCTTCGTGTTGCACCCCTACACACTCCAATTGACTCGTCAGAGGCAAAACAAACATCTTGGTATGGCTTCCAGCAAGTTATTAGGGTGGGCCCGGCTAGTTCGGCTGGCCATGGTTCCCGCTGATGATCTCACCGGTGAATCTGGGATGCTCTTTTCGAACGAACCGGGCCTTAAGCGACATGGAAAAAGAGATTAAGTTACCCGTCAACTCTGGAAATCTCTACCCCGGATGTCGCCGAGCCTCCACCGCCGCTCACGTCGCTCACAAAATGACTGAGGCGAGGTTCACCGCTTACATGGAGTCTTGTTCGGGGAGCATGCAACGTGTGTGTTGCGTTTGACAGATGGATGTATGGCTTTTTACTTCTGTCTGCTCAAATTGCCGGTTCCACAGCTTGCGGCCTTCGTTGTGCTATTCTATTGCCGCAGCGGCGAGATCTCCCACGTTCTACATAGGTAGTGGCAAAGTGTAATGTCTGGGCAGGCTCAATTCTAGTGCCGCACCGATCAACTTGTATCAGGCCTGCAACAACCAAACTTGAATGTCATGCTCATGCTCAAAGTCACCTCATCAGATCTCGACGGCAATATACTTCGTTTGGTAAAACCGAGAGCGTTGAGCTGTCTAAGTGTAACTCTACCGAATATCACATGACATGCCATGCTGGATTTAACAACTCTTTGTGAGATAACCGCCGCCGTTGAGGCTGGAGATAGAATAATCCCGTACCTTTCGGAATTGCACTGAAAAGGCGTCAGCTATCTCCGAACGAGCAGTAGCGAAGAAACAGAGTGACGGAGGACGCAAGCGCGGGAATTTCTTTAAGCCGAAGGATCTGACCATTTACACTTCTGACAACATAACATGTTGGAACTAGTCCTCCTTGGTGGGGGATCTTTCAGAAATGACGAATCAAATTCATCGTGCGTTGTTGAGCATTTGCTTGATCTGTGCAGGCTCGACACGCTGTGTTATTGATACGATAAACATAGATTGACGGGGATCATAGCTTCGTATACAATATCAGTCATTTAAATAAAGCTTACGTCTCCTGTTCATAACGACTATAGCTAAATTTACCATATTTTCACTACAACTAAATATCTCTTAGATCAAGCTTAAATCAAGTATCCAAACAACAACCATGGCACCTTCAGAAACCGAGATTGCATCCATCCTGCAGGCGATGGCGGATGACTTCCGTGGATGGCCACTCGCACCCATCATGCACTTCCCAGACGAAGCCGGTCTGGAATACGAAGACGTCTTCTTCCCGTCTGAAGACGGAGTGGCTCTTGAGGGCTGGTTTATCCCCCGTAAGGGTTCTAAGCGAGTCATCATCGCCAACCATCCGCATTGGTGCAACCGCGCCGGCTTACCCTCCCAACTGGAACCATGGAATGGACTGATGCCAGGCAATGACTTCGAACTCAACTTCATCCCAGACTACAAGATCCTCCACGATGCCGGGTACAACGTTCTTGCCTATGACCTGCGTAACCATGGCCACAGCGGCAGCGGCAACAACGGACTTTTTGGAATTTACGAGTGGCGCGACGTCGTTGGCTCTTTGAAGTACATCCGAAGTCGCCCTGACACAAGCGAAATGTCCATTGGCCTCTTTAGTCGGTGTGCTGGCGCCAATGCATCCTTTGCGGCCATGAGGCGCTGCCCAGAGGTCTTTGAAGGTGTTCACTGCATGATTGCACCTCAACCCTTGTCACCACGTGTAGCTTTTGAGCGAACGTTGGAGATGCTCGGCATCCCAGCGTCTTACATGGAGGATCTTGAGCGCCGTTTCTTCATGAAGACGAGTTACCGTCTTGACCAGCTATCGCCTGTACCTGACGCCAAGCACGTGAGGTTGCCAACTTTTCTGTATCAGGTTCATGATGACCCTGCCACGCGGCCCAGCGATGTGCAGGCGATGTTTGACAATATCCCAGTCTCTGAAAAGAAGCTGCATTGGATTCAGGGAACTACGAAACGCTGGCACGGATACACTTACTTCCAGACAGAGCCAGACCAATTCCTGGATTGGTTCGCACGTTTCATGGATTAAATTAGCCGGGTATTGAGAAGTCTTACTTATAATCGGCCCTGGCTTTCGTTCAACCTCTGTGATCTTTCCGAGTCATCAGGTTGTTGTTAAATAAATGTTAGACTCGCAATACTCAAGCATTATTAGTTAGGCGGCCAGCTCCGCATGTGAGCAACCCAAAAACCAGAGGGGTAAGTGAGTCACTATCGCTTGTGCTGCGCCGCAACTTCCAAGTCTTTCCCTTCTCCTCAGACCAATACCAGCCAGTGACATCTTGCGGGAGTCATCGAAATCTGAGGCTTCCATCGCGCAACCTTTACCATCTAGCCCTCAGTGATCCTTGCCTTTGACACGATCAATGCCATACGAGCCCGGAGTAGATGAGGGCCAACTTATCGCGACCATCGGCCCCCGGTCATTCCTTTTCTTCATCGTTGCTGATGTAGGCGCGCCGGGATCTAAAGGCGGTCACCGTCCTCTCGCCATCACCTACCGGCAAGGCCGGGGCCATGGTCCCGGACGAACAATGGAGAATGGGTGGCAGCGAGTCCGTCAGGTTATTCAGGACTGTGCCCGCGCCGTCGATATCTTGACAATGCCTGGCAACCGTGCCGCCATCGAGGCGGAGCTGTCCATGGCCGTAGCCGAGTACCGCGACGGAGACAATTCGGAGCCGCAACGCGTACAAGTCCCTGATTTGCCACAACCTAGTTTGGACAACCATGCGCCATGGGGTGGCCACCCTAAAGTTTTTGAGCAACCGGAGCAGCTGGAGTCGCCGCCATGGGTGGATTCAAGCGCCATCCGCGAATTCCCGTTCATTTCGTTATGCCTGCGTCTGGCCTTGAACAATGAGGAGGACGACTCCAGAGCTCGTTTCGACCATGTCCAAGAGCGACCGCTCGCCACTATCTTTCCTGGGAATGTGCTCGAGTACGGCGCCGTCGTCATCGACATCTCCGATTTGGATGCCGTGCGGTATGGCATCTTCGGCTCAAGAATCAGGTACGTTGGGGCTAAAGGGTGTAGTTTCGGCGGAACCTGGGGCTGGGATTCCGTGGAGAGCGACTACAGCGGCCCTCCGCCGGTGCTTCACCTGGAGACAGCTCGCGCAAGAACGCCGCTCTCAGCAGGCGCATACATGACCAAGTTTGGTCTCCACGAAACGTCGGACGACCTAGAGCGGCTGAGAAAATACGGCATCGTCGAACGCCGGGCTCTTAACTGTAAGTTGTCGCGTACGCTTAAGCATCATGATGCTAACAAACTATAAGATATCTGGCCGCCTTTAAGAAAGAGTGGCGGCAGCAGTACCCCCGCTCTCCCTATTGACGAGCATGATGCCGCTGTCGAGGTAGTCTCCAGCCTTCTTGATTCTGGGACGTTCGATTTAGAAGCCCACCGCGAGTCCATTATTCTACCTGAATTACAGAGTAGTCTACGAAAGCACCTTATCAAGAATTTCGACAAACTGAAGCCTTCCGGCGCGTCAGCGCAGCTCCTCCGGCTTGCTTACGCCGGATGCTGTCACCTGAATTGGGCGGCCTACCGACATTTATCATACGAGCATACTGCTGCCATTCTCGTCTCGGAGGAATTTCGCAACGCGCAAGCGCTTAGCATCTGTATCGATGGTATGGATGGCCGTCCCACTTCGCTGTTTGAGGCCCTAGCCCAGCACGAGACAATCCGCGACATTTGTTTTCTCCAGGGCCCCTCTCGCGCCAACGACGACAAGTCATCAGACCTATTCTCGCAAATATGCATGTCACCGTTCGCCTCGATTCTCCTCAAATCCAAGAAAACCTTTGTTACTTGCGACTTCTCCGCACCACTTCGACGTGCTGACTGGCCCCGAGACCCGAGCACACGCACACCACTGGACTCTCCTGCCCTGCGTAGCGCACTACCGGTGCAGCCCATGTTCGTCCGGCAGCAGTCCATACCCGAACAAGCAGTAGACGACCAAGACGATATGGATCTGTGATGTTGACCAAGAAGAAGTGAAAGAAAAAGACAGACACATGGTGTTCCGGTCTTGCCACTTCTTTCTGGTTGACATGCTTCTTGAATCGGAACGCTTCGTATCGAGGTTCCTGAAGTATTTGTTTCTTGTTGATACATTCTTGGTGAGCTTCGCCGCGACAACGTCGACCACTTCAAAATGGTACGTCAAGTCCCATCAGTCCTATGCCCGCAGAGAATCTAGCCGTCTCGAGCGATGCAATATGGGTTCCTCTCCGGCCACAGCGGACCCAGGCCCATCACCGAGGGTTGAGTGCTGGCCCCTTTTTGAGTCTCTGGAGCCCGGAAGCTGGGCTGTTGTCGTCTCGCATGAATGGAATACGACGCGGAAAACGAGAAAAGATCTACGGCAATACTTAAGTTGGGGGGCCCGGGTGAATCATGAATAGGGGTTCCTGTTGTGCGGTACGCCTCCCTCTGGGCGCGGCAAGTCATCACTTTGCCCGACGGTGTGGCGGCGGGTATGAGCCTGGAGTAGCGATTCGGGCCTGACTTCGTGGACGTTGTAGGCGGGTTCAAGGCGTTCTCGGGGGAGGCGGCACCAGAAGTGGCTGGTTCCTTAGTCGATGAGCGCGTGAAAGAAATGGTGAGGGTACTGCGCACCAGATGGAAGCTGGGAGAGTGGTCGAACGAAGACCTACCTGCTGGCATGGACCTTCTTACGGTCTTCGACGATGCGGCGGCACGAACGTCTTTAGAGACTTCTTGGCGGACGCGGCGCAAGTAAAGTGAAACCCGGCGATGGCTTTATGAACTCATACCAATGGATTTAGTTGGTACCCAGAGCTGGCAGCACTCCAGCCATCGCTCACGTCCATGCCAAGAGATGAGACGACTTTCCGGTCCTTTGATAACGAAGACATTGCCGACGATGCATATCTCCTCGGAACCCAGAATCTGTTGATTCCTCCGGGCGTCCATCAACTGTTTTACTTGTCAATTACCGATTAAAACTCAAGTTGGATTAATGGATCGCTTGAATAGTGCAGCTGGCGCACTTGATGACGCTGGCGACAACAAGATGTTTCTGGACAGCATGCCATCTTTCATTTTTAGATAATGTAAATATTTATGCCCTGAGCGTGGGTAGTAAATGCACTCAGAATCGAAGGTAGGAATGCAATTGTGAATCTTTCCTATATCTGTTATGTGCCCGTTTTCCTGGAGAGAATGGTATTCCGACCTGATTATAAGTTATGTCACAAACTTAGACTACTAGCTGGTCTGGAGCACATGATTTAGACTAAAAACACCAAACAGAGCATAATGTTTACTTGAAACAAGAGAGAAGGCAAACTTTCTTCCTTTCTGATTATGATCCAAGGAGCCAACTCTTTTCTGAGTTGCTCTTTATTTGACTGGTGCTGAGAGTTTGGTTTGTCAAAGGCGCTCATGAGTGGGCGTTTATTTCTCTTTCCCTCGTTGTTCTATACAGCGGATTTTCGGACTCCGAAATCAAGGCAGCTGTGAGGACCGTTATAGCTGCTATTAATATAGATCGGCGCCAGGTGTGAAGTTGATGGTTTACGGGGGTGAGGGACTAGTGTGGGATGCCGTTTCTACCATTGGTTTGGGTCAAACTTGACTTTCAAGTCATCTGGTGTAACCCCTCACCACAACGGCTGCCAAGTCTCTCCTGTCCCAAACCTTATCCGTAAACCCCTGCCAAGAAAGCAGACGAACAGTTTAGTAGCGCGTTCTAAGCTTTCTCTAGGTGGTCATTAGCAATTTCTCATTTCATGGAGGGGGCCCGACTAAACAATGTGTCTAATTAATAGGTGGAAAATCCGGTTATTGTTCAAGGGTATCCCGACCCCGCACGGAAAACGAGCTCGGCGCAGGGCCTGGGGTTACATTTCCGACATGGCTTGGATGAACTCATAAATAACGGGTGATTTCCAAATGATGAGAATCAGCTTGATGGTTCACGCTTGGACTCATTTTGTGTGCAAAAAAAGAATCGACGGCCATGTTGTCTCTCAACAAGATCACCCCTGCGTGGCTCCTTGCCGTCATGGCGGTCCAGCCGGTATCGTCAACTCTGCTCTATGCCGCCTCTCACGCAGGAACTGTCACGACCCTTGACCTCAAGACCTCAGAATCCGGGGCAACTTTGGAGGCAATTGCATCGACGACGGAATGTGCGGCCAATCCTTCGTGGCTTACCCTGGATCAGTCAAAGTCTTTGCTTTACTGCGCAGACAGAGGTATCAACAACCCCAACGGAACGCTCTTCTCTTTCAAGAAGTCCGAGGGCGGAATTCTTTCACCTCTCGGCAAATTGGGCACCATCAAGGGCGCTGTCAGTTCGGTTGTTTTTGGCAAGGATAACGGCGGAATCGCGTTGGCGTCTTAGTAAGTCAATTAGATTAACCCCGGCAGAATTCCCACTTCAGGCCCCGAGACCGGTGCAGGTAAAGTGGGAAACCGACTGATTCAATGACTAACAAACCGATCTTGTAGCCCAGCATCCTCTTTCGAGGTCTTCTCCGTGGCTGATCCCACCGATATCAAGCGGCTGCAGTCTTGGACTTACACTCTGGACCAACCGGGCCCTAAGCCCGCGCAGGCTGCCCCGCATCCCCACGAAGCCATCGTGGACCCCACGGGGGAGTACGTCCTAGTGCCGGATCTGGGAGCTGACTTAGTGCGGGTGTTCCAAATTAACCACGAGACTTACCAATTGACGCCCATTGCTCCTCTTCAAGCGGCAGTTGGCAGCGGTCCCAGACACGCTAGGTTTCTTGTCGCCGGAGAGAAGACGTTCTTCTTCCTCCTTGCGGAGCTTGATAACATCATTACTTCTTACGAGGTCAAGTACAACTGCAACAAGACTCTGAGCTTCGAAAAAGTCTTTTCCGTCGGTACTCACGGACCGGACAACGTCGTCCCTGCTGGAGCGTCCGCGGCCGAAGTCCACGTATCTGTAAGTGTTTACAAGAGCTTGGCTCGAATGCACTTTGCTAATTTGTAAACAGCCTGATTCCAAGTACTTGATCATCTCATCTCGCGGCGTGAACACTTTCAAGATTCCCAACTTCGACCCTAACAACAGCACTCAGATTGTCTCTGACGCCATGGCTACATTTGCCATTGACCACGAGACAGGCCACTTGAACTTCACTCAACTGCATCCTTCCGGTGGCAGATTCCCCCGTCAGTTCTCCATCAACAAGGCCGGCGACCAGGTTGCTGTAGGACTTCAGCAAGATGGCCGTGTGGTTGTCATTGAGCGAGACGTGGAGACTGGTCTTCTGAAGGACTTTATTGCAAACATCTCCATCACTGGCGAGGTTGTTTGCGTCATTTACGACGAGTAAACGACACGATAGACTTTGCATTGGGGCTAGCCTAGGCTGCGGAAAGCAGCTATTTTTTTTTCATGGATAGAACGACTACCCTTGTCGCGACGGGCTGACTTCCTGCCCATCATGAATGATGATACCCAAGCAGATAGATGCATTAATCAATCAAACAATTGACAAGCGATATTTTAAGCATGGCTTTTGGTGCCGGAGTTTTTCTTTCGTTTGGCAGCCCGAGTAGGGTCATATCCGAACATACTGATGTAGCTTGTTGTGCTGTCAACGTTCAATATGTATTGTCAAAGTCAAAAAAGTCATTAAAACCTATGGTACCTATCCACATAATTCTCGACAGCTTAATCTGCCGCTTTATCACCAAACCAACGAGCTTGTCAGCAGTAACTGAATTTCACTTCGAATATTCACAGACCAAATGGCTCGTAACGATAGATGATGACGACATTCGCCTATATTAATTCTATCAATGTTCCCTCATAATCGCTCCCTCTAAATGTCTATCACATCTATACATACTCATGAATACATTAAAAAACCCACGTGCTAAAACAATTCCACAAACTCATCATATCCCTGACGTCTTTTAGTTGACGTACTTGGGAAGAGTTGCCATAACGCCGTCCTTGGAAATAAGCTCCATAGCCTTGGAGACTTCGTCGATGAAGCGCTGGTCGCCACGAAGATCGTCGCCGAACAGAACCTTGAGGCTGAGAAGAGGGCGGGGGTCATTGCCGCCTTCCTTCGCCAAAGCCTGCAACTCCTCCCGCATCGGGTCATCAACTTCGAACGAGTTGCCCTCGTCGTCGACGCCGTTGATGTAGCGGAACCAAGCACCGGCAACGAAGCACAGACGGCGGAAAGGACCAGTCACCCAGATCTGCTCGGCAATGGAAGGCATGATGAACTGGGGAATCTTGCCCGAGGCGCCCAGCGCAACACGGGGAATTCCGTCCATGATGGTAGGGTTGGAGAAGCGCTCCATGAGCGTGTTGCAGTACTCGTCAATGTCGACGCCGGGGATCTCGGGGAGAAGGGGCTTGACCTCCTCCTGCATCATCTGCCAAATGAACTTGCGGTAGACGGGGTGCTCCATGACCTCGTGGACGTACTTGAAGCCGGCAAGCTGTCCCGCGTAAGCCATGGCGGAGTGGCTGGCGTTCAGCAGACGGAGCTTGTGCTTCTCAAACTGCTCTACCTCGTGCACGCCCTTGACGACCTGAACGCCGACCTTCTCGAAGGGCGGGCGGCCGTCGCTGAACTGGTCCTCGACGACCCACTGCATGAAGGGCTCGGTGACGACGGGCCATGCGTCCTCGATGCCGAAGTTGTCCGCCAGCGACTTGATGTCGTTTTGAGAGGTGCTGGGGGTGATGCGGTCGACCATTGCATTGGGAAAAGCGCCCTCTTCCGAGATCCACTTGGCGACATCCGGGTTGCGGAGACGCGCGAACGACGTCAGCATGTGGCGGGTGATGGAGCCGTTCTTCTGCATGTTGTCGCAAGACAAAACGGTGAAGGGCTTGAGTCCCTGCGCGTGGCGTCTGGCGAGCGCAGCGTACAGGAAGCCAAAGGTGCTGACGGGGTCGTTCTCGTTGGCCAAGTCGTGCTGGATATCGGGGTGCTCAGCCTGCAGCTCGTGGGTGTTTTCATTGTAGTAGTAGCCGCTCTCCGTGATGGTCAGGGACACGATGTGAGTGTCCGGGTGAGCCATCTTGGCAATGACAGCCTCGCGGTCATCGGGCGCGAAGAGGAATGAGTTGATGCTGCCGACGATGTTGGCGAAGCTGCCCTTGGCCGAGCGCTCGATGACGGTGTACAGATGGTCCTGAGCGCTCAGGACATCGCGCATGGCGGCATCGTTGGGTCGGAGACCGACACCGCAGATTGCCCAGTCGCGCTGGCCGTGCTTCTGAATCAAATGGTCGATGTAGACGGCCAAATGAGCTCTGTGGAAGCCGCCAACGCCGACGTGGACGATTCCCTCCTTTACGCCATTACGGTCGTAGGTAGGGGCTTTCACCCTTTGTTCTCCCTGCTGCGAAGAAATCAAAGGCAAGTTGTTGCTAGTAAGCTTGAGGGTTTCTGTGCTGTGAGGCATTCTAGTCGAAAATGAAAAGAGGTGATGATGATGAGGACGTGCTAGGGGAATTAGGGAAAGGCTACGAGTGTTGTGGTCTGAATGATCAAGATTACAGTTCACCGCTGGTTACCCCTGAGGCCGGCCGCGTTTTCTAAGATAGATCGGAATAAGTTCGGCCACAGAGATTTCGAAGCACGTTCCACGTTGTTGAGAAAAATCAAGCCTCGATGGATCCATTGTGGTGGCGGCGGAGGGTCCGTCTAAGAATAAACTGGGCCCGGGTGGCGTTCCTTGAGATTTTGGGACCGGCTAGGCACTTTAAACTGGGACAAGAGGCGGTCTAGCTCATCAACCCAGGCATATAGTGGAGTTTTCAAATTCGCATTATGACGCAAGGATGGGATAGGCATGGGTCAGCATACTGATAAGGCCTGGGCGACTATGACTCGGGAGAACCATGTTGAGCGCTACAGAATCTGCGCAGCGTGGCCGGTTAGCAGGCCGCAAAGAACCTTGGAAATCTCAGGAACATGCTCGACCTGTGAACATGTCCGTTGCCGCTCTGAACGACCGCCCGGGCTAAATCATGCTATTCGTTTTGTGCCCGTTGAGATGGGCGATCCAAATTATTCGAGACACTCAATGAAACAGAGTTTTCGCTTACACGGGTATGTCTGATATGTCCGAAAGTATATTGGGCTGTCAAAAGGTCACGAGGCGGTCAAGACCTGGGCATTGTAACCAGATGATAGGTAGTCTAGAACAATATTTGCTTTCTCCCAACTTCCGGCTCCCTTAAGGTCACATTCCGGTGTTGATCGTCGTCTGAAAATTAAGCGGGTCGTGATCTACGGTGAACTGTTTGGGAACGCGAAACTTCCCAAAAGTTCATAGCACACTCGAGATTTCCAGGTGGATATGAACGGGAGAGGGAACAAGAAGCCAATGCAAGTCGCAGGTTTCGGGTAATGTCAGAACAACTTGGACCATCGGTTCGCCGAACTGCTTAGGAACCTGAGTTGCCAACAGAACACACAAATGACCAGCCAGGGCAATCGTGGCATACTCACTCGAATGTGCTAAAGACTAGAGAGCTCCTCCACTCCTGCTGTTTCAGCATTTGGATGTTTACGAGCGTTAGTTTGGGGCTACAAACATGATGGTTAATTGTGGTTTCTTGCGACAACTTCCCAGTTCATCCTCGAAGGCGCCGACTCTATCCCCCAATGTTTTAGAATTGCTTACCTGAGAAGGCTGCAAAGAAACAGTCCTTTTTGAAGTTATTCTCGGCACAGAATTGTCACGCGACGTCTAATGTGCGACAATAAGAGCCGGCACATGACCATGAAATTTCTCATTGCATTGAGGTCGTTTAATGAAGTTCCTTTGCCGCCCGCAGCTTCGAAGCACGTGAGGGAAACGCTGTCTCAACCTCGTAATTGTTTATGTGTAGTATTGAGACATCATAGCCACTCTTTCCTGCGTGTCAGCCAAATACACGTAATGTGGAAGTTGAAGTTGTTGCCATATTTTCTTGTGTCTTCAATTGCCTAACTGTTCGCTTTCTTTAATTAGAGGATTTCTATGGCAACTACTCTATGGAAGCTCAACAGTAAATACAAGGACATTAAATCAGATTCTGTTTCTTCGACGACAACATGTGAGAAAGGTTGTTGGTCGTGGTAGTGGAATGAAATAGTGAAGTTCAGAGGTATGCATGTCGTCTATCAGCTACTGGACAGTGTCAAACCGGCCACATTTGTGTAAACAACCAAACGGAGAGATTGCACTTTGGTATTATAATGGGTCGCCAGAGCAGAGGCGTCTGCCATGCCTTCAGACACAAGACTGCAATAAAACCAATTCAGAGCAATAATCAGTGGGTCATTAAGTCGGTTCTCACTACCATACCACAGAGCTCTTTGCTAAATTAAGTATCTAACAGTAGGTAAGACACGCGCTTAAAGTTAGGGTGGGAATTGAAGATGAAGAGAAATAGAAATACAACTTGATTAGATCGAATTTATCCCAAGCCTTCATTTGAAGTAATCTTCTCATGACAGGTACAGTTGACCACTATACGAGTGGGCCATGTAGTATGAAATAGGATCACGAAGTTATTGAAGGCTGTCACTGCTGAAGAGGATCATAGAACTGCAACCTTGGCTTAACGTCCCCGTTCCCTAGGTGAAGTAGGACCAATTAGGGTTGCATTTCCCTTGACTAAGGTAGGAAGTTAAGACGCTTCTGTTTTATCTCTTTCGACAATTCTGCTGATTCAATGCGGTTTTTGGGCTTTATGGGACGACTTTGACGAACTTGACACTGCATTGTAATCAGGCTGTATACTTGATAAGTGTCAGCTGACGGTCCGGAGCAATTTATTTCTCACCCAACCCACCTTCATTTCCCATTTCGGCTCATGTTTACCCCTCATCTGTTACGACCCGTTGGACATGGTCGCCAACACGACCCCGCCTGGATCCCGGCGGCTAACGCAGGGCATATGTAACCCAGCCGGACAGGTGTAACCAGGGATCCTCGGAACGGAAGAACTATGGACAAGTCACGTGGCCTCGGGGATAACGCGGGGTAAGGACAACCCGGGCTGGATATGTTGGATATGTCAAATATCCAACATAGCCAAGATAAGGAGGACCGTTCAGGACTTGTATATAGGATGGACTCGAGCCGGGCTCGAGGACAGACTTCCATAGCTCTTCAGCAATCAACTTTGTGATTACCCTAACCGGTACTTTCAGCTATACCTAAGTGACGACTACTCTACGACTCTTGTTGAGGCCTTGACTGATCACCAAGACCTTTGAAGATCTACGATCTATTCGACCAGGACCACGGAACGACTGTTACTACTCTCAATCCCTGGCTTACTGTTAACACAAACCCACTGTCAGTTAGCTGGCCGTAACACTTTGATTGCTCCTGTTCAGTAAGTCACCTTTTGAGAACTACTAAACAGTATAGACAAGATGTCTTCTCGCGCTTCTGCCAAATCACCCACTCCAGGATCCTCATCCTCTTCGCGCAACCAGCCTCAGAGCCTCGCGCAGGAGCCCGCCAACACTGAGGACTTCGACATGCCGGACCTTAAGTACGACTCCGATGGAGATGGCTCTTTCACCAAGGAAAGCTACGATAAGCTCCGACGCATAATCCAGAAACAAGAAGCCGAGACAAAAGACATGCAGAAAATCGTCAACGAAAACCGACAAGCAATGGAAAACCTCAACGAGCAACTCCAGCACGCTGGACAGGCCTACAAGAAGCTGGAAGAAGACATCAAGGGGGACGCCAACCTCCGGAAGATCCAGGAACTCCAGGGGGAAATCACCACCCTCCGGGCCGCCGCCAACATCGTCACCACGCCCGTCCACGGAGGACGACAAAAGCTCAAGCTCAGTGCGCCTGTCACCTACGACGGAACCCCCGGGACCCTCAAAGGATTCCTGATTTAGGTCAAAAATTACTAGAACTTTCACCACGGAGATTTCACTAACGAGACCGAAAAAGTAGTACACGCAGCCACCTACCTCCGAGGAAAGGCCCTCAAGTGGTTTGAACCAATCCAGGAAGAGTACCTAAAATGCGAGACCCTCGACGAGTGCACTACCGAGACCCGCGATATCTACGCCAATTTTAAAGGATTCGAGGATACGCTCAGGTCACTCTTCCAAGACCCCGACGAAAAGCGACAAGCCGAACGAGATCTGGCATAACTTAAGCAGACTAAGTCTGCTAAAGACTACTCCGCTAATTTCCGACAACTCAGCGTTCAACTCGACCTTACCGAGGAAACCAAGATCTTCATGTTCTATCAAGGACTAAAGGACGAAGTCAAGGACGAGATCATCAAGATTGATCGACCTGACGACTTTCTCTAGTACGCCGAACTCGCTATCAAAATCGACAACCGGCTTTTCGAACGACGAAAGGAAAGAGGCGAAAAACGACAAAACCCCAACTCAGGACGCAAGTACCAGTGGCAGCCTCAGCACCAGTTCAACAACCAGCGAAACGACAATAGACCCCGCAACAACTAGAACAACCCCCGACAAAGTACTGCCTATGGTTACCACAGTAGACCAATGGACCTTAGTGCTATACAGAGAAACGATAAAAAGAACGACAGTTGGAAGAAAGACAGACAGTGCTATAACTGCTAGAAGATTGGATACCTAGCATACGAATGTAGGTTACCTAAGAAGGAACGCTTCCAACCGGTACTAGAGAAACGACAAGCAAGTATCGCTACAAAGACGATCCCTCATAAACAACTTAATTAGACCACCTGCTTCGATAACAACTGCCATATCCACTCTAGCAGTAAGGAACACGCAGGATGGTACCCCCAGAAACCTCAAGAACGATCTGGTTACGACACTACCAACGTACCTAAACAGACCCTCGCTGCGGGATATAGAAGCAACAGCAAAATCGAGCGCAAGACAATCGAACGGCTCGACAGTATGAACGACAACGAGGAATTAGAACAAGACAATCAGCGAAGGCTGAGCCTCCTCTACGCAGGACGACAAGCCTACCTGCAGCGGATTCAACAGGACTCACAAAACCCTATGTGGCAACGACAACTCGGTGCGCTGGACGCACATATCGAACGACGACAACATGCACAAGGAGATCCCGCACGGATCCGCCAGATCAACCAAGAACTGGAAGAACAGGTCGAATCAGAAACGACCAAGAACACCCCCAACGACTCGGAAACACCTCGCGATGTTGCCCGTCAACATGCCCAACTGGAAGTCGCCTTTGAAGTCGCTTCAGTCGACGACACCAGCTCTGGAGAGGACTCTGACGAAGAAATACAGTGGTATCACTGCTACCAAGACCAGCGCCGAGTCCACTATATCAAGAAAGACGAAGCATGGAAGAAACAGCAAGAAAACGACGAACAAGGAACGGACAAGCAGTCAAAAAACTAGACTCGCCTACCGAAGACAAGGGACAACGACAGGCAGTCCAGACAAGGTCCCTAT